GCGGGCGGGCGCTCGAGAAGGCGGCCCACGTGGGAATAGATGCACAACCGCCGGCGCGCGCGACATGACCATGACAGCCGCCGCTGAATGTTCGTGCGGCGCTTGCGGAACATATTCCCGACCGAAGCACGTAAAGAAAGGAAATACGACGTACCGATGAGGTGAATGACATTGGCGTTCTTCGTACCGGGTACACCGACGAGGAAGTTGTCTGGCTTGATGTCGCGGTAAATGAGCGACTTGTCGTGCACGGACTGGATGCGGGTGACCTGCGTTGGTGATGATCGACATGTCAGCGCTTATGCAGGGAAGTGGAAGAAGTGGGGCGCACCATCTGCTTCGCGGCCATGCAGACTGTCTTGATGGAGAATTGACGGCCGCACATGTCGAACAAGTCCTCGAGGTTGGGACCCAGTAGGTCAATGGCCAGCACGTTGTGCAGACCCTCCTGTCCGAAATGGTGAACCTGCGGCACTCCCACTGTGGCCACCCAAACAAGGTCAATAAACAATAGACGGTATATTCAACTGAAAATGGGCTTACGAGTGCCGTTGAGAGTGCGGTATGACCGGTACTCGTCGCGCAGCTGCGGTGCGTCCGACTTGCGCGGTTCCTAGGATGCCCGTCAACATCCGCCGCCCCTGGCCCGACGGCAACAATAATGTACGCACAAACTTGATGGCCACTGGCTGGCTCGTAATCAAATTTGTTCCTGCAATGTTCTCAGTATCTTTAGTAAACATATAATGTAGGCCGAGGGTGCTTACCCTCAAAGACGACACCGAAGGAGCCCTCGCCGATCTTCTTGCCGACACGGAAATGGTTGCCGACAATGCCGTTGTTGGTCGTCGTCGCGGACGACGAGTGTGAGGATGCTATCACGTGAGGAGTCGCCATCGTGAGCGACGAGGACGACGGCGGAGAGAGGGGCGAAAGAGAGGCGACAGTGTGTGGTCGAAGCGGGAGGCAAGAGAGCCGGTTCCGTGACAGCTCCCTCGCGCGCCCCGCGCGGGCAGGCCAGGCACAACTTCTCTCCCACCGCCATCACCAACGACGATCCCTGTTGCCTTTGTTCTCGCTCACAATATCTTTTGTTCCATATCACCCATCCTTCGGTCTGTGGCCTGTACTGTACACCCAATTGTGTCGCTTGCTGGCCAGTGCTATTATTTTCCAATCGTGTTATTATGTCCTCCGAAACATCCGACTTACCCACGACCGGCCTCATAACAATCGTGAACGGACTAATTGCACAGCTTACATCTACCATGGGACCCGTATGTGTTCGTCTAACAGAGTTGACCCTTCCGTCCAGGACGACGAACATCTTTGATTATCCGGCCCTTGTCGGCGCTTGGTCCGATACGTTGGGCTACTGTATGGGTCACCTGACCAAACCCTTTGCTTACAGTAGCTGGTGGCAGCGAGTGCTTACAGAGATTGCTGTGTTCAGGGAACGAAGGTGGTGGGTGTTGGCTTATCGTGGCGAGCAGTGTTGACAGCCTGCATACACGCTGTGACCCTGTTTCCTGCGCCTGCATCATCACCTTCCGGGAAACGCGATCGGTCTTTGACCGGGTATACAACTCGTGTTATCATACCGGACCACACCTCTTTGACACCTTTGGCGTGGACTAATGGCTAACGTAAGACTATCCAAGAGCAGATGGAACCGCGCGCGTGAAGGTGACGGCCTCGTGCCCACAGCGCGTGTTTGACTTGCGGGAAGACTCGAGATTCAACTCACGGTAAGCCATCCGCAGATGAATAGACGACGTCTGGCGCACTAATCACCCTCGCATCTCTACCTTAGAACGCAAAGTACGCTGAAAGCATATCGATGCACCTCCTGAATGGTGAACGGCACGGGTCACCCGCGGGGCATTCAATGCAACCCGAACCCGTACCCGCCCAAACCCGTACCATGTAGGCGGGTACGGTTTGGCTTCCCCTTGGATTTAGCGACGGGTCTGCCCGGCTTTCCGTCAAAGGCACTCTGATTCTGAGGTGCTTCGTGGCATAAGTCCGCTAGAGGCGTCTCGGTGGGCGCTGAAGGCTCCGCGAGCTCATAGCATGCCGCTCTTGTCTTCGGCTGGCCACCGATCTCGACGACGGGTACGCTTTGGCCAACCCGTGGGTTTCGGCAGACCCGTGGCGCACAGTACCTCCAATTTCGAGCGAAGAGCGTGGCGGTGGACCACCTGAGCAAATATGGCTCATGCCCGTCACATTGATCACAAGCATCTACCCGTCCTCAACCACGCCGAGGATGGGGGCACTCTTGTGGTTTGTAGGCACGTGCAAGCGGTCTATAAAGTCCCGGCCTGCTTCCTCCCAACGCCACGGCCACCACCATCATCTCAACGCACGCACGCCTCTTATATCTCTCAGCGTAGTCTGCGGTGGATGACACCGGTCTCACATACTCACAGACACCTCCACAGACACCTCAATATGTCGGATTCGCAAGTAGAAGTTGGCGCTACGGATAGCCTTGGTGGTTGCGGGCATGCTTCACGGTCAGTGTTGTCGAGCTCGTGCGTCGCCAGCTCATACTGACAACACCACAGGAGGACCAATACCTGCGCCTGCACTCCTTTCAATACACGCTTGCCGCCCGAGATCCAGCAGATGATCTTCTCGTGGGTTGCGGTGCTCGATCCTCCCTCCATTCCTGGAGATGCCAAGGGCTCCCTTGGCTTCGTGCTCATCTCGCATGTCTGCAGACATTGGCGCACGACGTTACTTTCGATGAGGCATGTCTGGGCGGATAGCATGGGGTTGCTTCCTGAGGCGACAATCGAGATGGTTCGCCGCGCCGGCTCACATCCTCTCACGGTCACTCTCCGCTCGGACCTCAGTCCTTTCGATGAGGGCATGGGTCTGTTCTGCCACCGTCGCTCAACCCGTGCCCTCCACTGCGCCTTGTCGGAGCCGAGCCCTAGCAGAGCCCGCGAATACGAAGATGTCTTCTGCGACGAAGTGCATCCCTGGCCAATCCTCGAGACCCTCAAGATCGAGGTCTCTGACAGAATAATCGGCATGGACAAGGACTCGCTCATGCCTTCGTTGCGCTTCCTCACCATGAAGAACATCTTCAACCACTTCACTGCTCCCTCTTTGCAAAGCCTGTCCATCGAGTTCCAGGAGTGGACGAAAGGAAGCTTTGCGCTCCAGGCATTCAAGTTCTTCGATATGGTTCGCGCTTGCCGCTCCACACTTCAAGACCTCGAACTCACACATTGTTTCGCCCCCGACGCGATGCCATTGATTCCGACGCCCATAGAGCTTCCAGAACTTCGTAGCTTGTATCTGGGCGGGTGCTCGCACCAGTTACTGGATGCTGCTCGGAATTGCTTTACCTACCCCTCCGCCTGCGACATCTCCTTCCGCCCCCTCTACGACTACACCACCACGAATCCATTCCAGCCCGATGAGTCGCTACATCTCGTCTTGCGCGCGTTCAGCGACGAAGTCATCGCTTGTACCGGCTCGTACGGTTTCGAATTCCACGCTCTCCCAGGCGAAGCGTCGCATATCTCCGTACGCGCGCTGTCCCCAGAGGCTCTCGCCGGCACCGGCGATCTCTTTGTAACGCCCCCCGACCTCGGCTCGCGCAAGGTATACTTCGACTCCGACCGGATGCGCATCTTTCACGACGACATATTTGACGCCCTTTCTTATGCCTTGATCCCCGCAAGCACAAAGAAAGCCAACTTGAACCTCAGTGCGCTCCGCGACGTACGTGTTCTCTCTATTGTGCAAGCGGGTACAGAGCCAGCAACTGGTGCCATGAGGAAAGTGCTTCTGGAGATGCCAGAGCTGCGCGTCCTACATCTTCGCGGAGGTACCGCAGACATGATGCGCTGCATCTGCCCTGTAATCTCCCACGGAAGATTGTCTGTCCCAAACCTGCAGTTGCTCCGTGTCTCAGCCGACAGACCATATGCGCCACCCCTTGACCTCTGGCAGTTCAATCGTTGCTTACGGAGGCGCGCGGAATATCACCAGGCAGGAGGTCGACCCTCTCCGCTTCCTTGCCTTATCGTCGATCGAAATGTTGAGTTCGATGAAGGATTGGAAGCCCAGAAGGCCGGAGTGGAGCGTCTGCAGGAGATGAACTGTGTCAAAAAGGTGTATTGGAGACTCATATGAACGTGACCGGGTGGAATCGTTTGGACATTAGTACGGTTCGATTGTTTATCTACCACCGCAATGAAGAATGCACATTGTATACTACATACGTGATGCTCGATGCTCGATGATAAGGATCATGAAGAAGTTTGGGAACGTTCGAATGTCTACTCGTCGTGACAGGCGCGGGGAGACAACTCTCCCTCACGAGCCTGCAAAAACCAGTTCAATCACGTTGAACTATGCCCTCTAGCTTCGCTTAACAATGCTTGACTCTTCGTGGTCTGTATCTTAGATACTTGTAAGTCGTAGCCCCCAGCGACTCAAGTTGAGCGAGGAAAAGATTGCGACGTCATGGAACTGTGTCGACGTTATGATTGACTCTCCATAACCGAAGAGTGTTCGCACTGTTGATCGTGCAGGAGCTGGCCTACTGGCAAGCGGTGCTCATACAGATCTGGCAGTGCCTAAACCGAGAGGGCGAGGACTCAGCCGTTGATCATCGGAGCCGTGGTGATGGATAGCGTCAAGTGCCGCGCGCGCGGCGGCGGCACCCAGGCGGCTTGTCTTCGGCGTCCATCATCATGCTTTTTCTCAATCCTTTCCGTTCGCACGAAGCAAGTGCAATTGCCATTGCGTATACACTATTACGAGCGACTGTGAGATTCCTACTGCTACAATAAATCCGTATCGCTCCGAGGGTGGTTGGATTCTGTCGCGGGAAGACCCGCGGCTGAGCTGTATCTGAAACCACTATTCGCTTAACGCAACGTGCCTGGCATGGTTATTCGTGTGGTTTGTTGACTCTGAATGATGGGGCGTGGTGCAATATAACCGGCGCCTTGGTTATGGCAACCCTCCACTCTTGACCCTCATCGTCCTAAACCTCATTGTGAGTAGGCTCGAAGCAAGACGGGCGACTCGCAGTTATAGCTGATGTTAGGCGTGCTCAGGGACAGACATGGAGGTCGCCGGGATTTGCGACGATAACTCAATGCATAAGTCGCGGTGCGTGGTGTACCTCATGTATCGTCAGCCTGTGCTGACGAGGCTGTACAAGAACTATGACGACTGCCTCGCCAGTTTCGCGCTTGCCACCCGAGATTCTAGGGATGATATTCTCACTGGCAGCCATCATCGACCCTCCCATCGCTCCTCTGAGCTCAGGCGAATTCGAGCGACTCGTGGATGATCTTCGCACGCACCCGACAAGCGACGAGAAGGAATACCCAAGTGGGAACGGGGCCCTCGGGTTCATACGGCTATCACACGTCTGCCGATCCTGGAGAGAGACTGTGCTCTCGATGAGACGACTGTGGGCGGATGTTGTTGGGATCATTCCGCTAGCCACCATCGACACTGTCAATCGTGCTTGCTCAGTGCCAATCACTCTCAACTTCAAAGAGTTCTGGGATTGGCCCACCCCCGACTTCATCCTACAACACCTTCTCAAAGCCCCTGCTATTCGGGCTATTCACGGCAGCTTCGTCATCGATCGTCATGATGGACAGAAGCCGACTGTCTGTTCACTCATAGACAGTGTGTGGAGTGATGCAGGCAGCGCTCCTTGGAATACTTTGGAAACTGTGGACTTCGTCGTCGATCGAACCACCGGCGTGGAAGGCGCCCATCACGCACCCTCTCTGCGTACTCTCAGATTGAACAACTTCTTCGTCCCATTCATCGCCAATGCCTTGCAACAAGTATCGCTCACGTTCGACAAGCCCGGGAACGGAGTGCTCACGATGCCGGCGCTTCTCAACTTCCTACGCAGTTGTGCCGGTACTCTACAAGAGCTCAAGCTCTCCCACGCACTGCAGCCTCAACATATGCCGCAAGCGGACCCTGTAGAGTTCCCGGCGCTCTGCCGTCTGGATGTAGGCGGCTATTCACCCAGGCTGCTCGACACCATACAAGACTATTTCACATACTCTTCGACGTGCGGCGTCTCCTTCCATCCCTTGAGCGGGCGGAGCGCAGAACAAGAGTTGCCTGACATCGCGATACACCGAGCTTTACGCGTCTTCAGCGACGAGGTCCTCGCTACAGGTCATTCGTACGGGTTCGCCTGCATGACTCTGCCCGGGGAGGCGCCGTTCGTGTCTGTCCGCGCGGTATCGCCTAAGCTTCTCACCGACAAGGGCGGAATCTTCCTCGAATATCCTAAACTTGGCGAGCGCAGAGTCTACTTCAAGCCGGACGACAACGTGAAGGGCACAAGATGCGACGCCCTGAAGATGCTATGGGGTACAATCGCCCGTCATGCGGGTACAGGAGGTCATCAACTGGATCTCAGCGCGCTTAGAGGACTGCACGCTCTTTCGATCATCCACAAAGACATCACCAGGCAACACAATCGGGGTGGTCGAGACTGCATATTGTATCTGACGCCAAAGCTCCGCATTTTACATATGGACGGATTCGACAACAACGCGATCCGGGATATCGCTACGCCAGATCCCTTCGGAGACGCGCCAATTCCCATCCTCCATCTCCTCTACCTGACCGCAGGGTACCCATCAGCACCGCCCATCTGTCTGGAACAATTCAGCGACGCTCTGCGTAAGCGGGCCGAGTACGATCAGAAAGAAGACGAAGTGTGCCCGCTGCCATACCTCGTCATGGACGAGAACATCAGGTTCGACCGGGACGAGGAGCTGGATGATGAGCTAGAGTGGCTCGCCAATATGCATTATGTTCAGGAATGGCACTATGTATCCTTGAATAGGGAGTAATTGTATTTTCACGCTGTAGATCTCGTGTATGACATTGATGCCAGTTCATCATCGTGGCGTAGACCCGGCAAACTAACAAGTTTCCGAAGAATGTAGCTCAACCAAGTTCAGGGGAGGGCTTTGCGCTTCGAAGACTCTAACGTCAACTCCAAGGCCACCGCACTCATCGGACCAAGTCCGCGCAAGGCAACTTGTGCTGAGATCGTGATCTGCACGCAGAGCAAGTGGGCCTGGTTCGTGGGTGCTTTCAGGTGAACCAAGAGCGATGTCATAAGCACATACGCCGAGGGGAGGACTGTAGTTATAGTATCACTTCGTGCGCATCTTGTCTATGAGATGGGCAAAGATAGACTCAGAGACGTAACTTGAGCAGGTTCTGTGGGCAGCTGTGCACGTCAGACATCGTAGAATGAATGATATTCTGTCACACTGCAGGTCCTCATCGGACCGAGCGGGAGTCGTGTATACAGGTTTCACGTGCGCATGGCTGATTGAGCGCCTCGGAACGCCCGAGGACAGGCGCTCGCAAGCTATAAAGCCTCGAGCATCCCACGCATTCTAAAACGTGCTATAAGTAACGTACACGCGGCGGACAGCCAACAAGGCTTCTCTTCCCTCCCAATCGCATCGTCATGGACCCTGAGAAACAGCCCTTGCAGCCAGACACAGTAATTTTGTTGCCGTCGCGGTCGCGATCGCGGTCGCCGTCGCGGACGCCGCCATTGCGATATTCGTCGCCGAGGCGGTCGTTGTCGAGGTCGCGATCGCGATCATACTCGCCTATTAGACCCCGTGTTGCTCCTGCCATATGCGGATACCCTATCCCTCCAGTCGTTCAACCTCCCTTTCTACCTCCGGGACCCAATGCTAGCCGACATGTCCTTCACCCTCCGAACCGGTCGTCTTCTCCGAGTTCGCCACTGCTGCTGGTCTTTTGCTATAAGAGTGCGCGCATTCTGGCCAAGGTCGATAGGGAGTGTAGCTATGAGGTATGTCCCGATCTCAATCCACCCAGCGCGCTGAGCTAATGCGCGTTGCAACTGAAGGATGTCTTGCGGTCCGCGCGCTCTGTCTTCCCGAAGCTACCTGCGAACGATCGCAACATCTTCCTCGAGACGGATGTCCAGCTTTCAGATGGCATCGAGGACGGCAAGACCGTACGAGCGCGCATCACGCCCGAGACGTGGTCGGAGGTCCGACCACACGGGTCGTCTCGCGCTGAGATCGAGATTCGTACGCGGAGCAGGTGGACTTCGTTTGTGGGAGCTTTCAAAGGGAGCACGTAGTTGTATCGGCGTTCTTACTCCGGAGAAGGAAAGATGACGTTGTTCAGATCATGCACAGCCCAATTGCATCAGTATATGGCGCAATCACTCGGCCGAATGATGAGGGTGAAGTCCAGCATGCGCGTCTGGATGGATGTTCGCGTCGAGACGCGTCTGCTTCAGCAGACGGAGAGCTGTCAACGAACGCGTGACGTCACGCATCTCGGCACTTGCCGTTCGCCTGCTGGGCTCGAACCCGGCAGTTTGAGCGCTCTGTTTAACGCGAGTTTATGCCATTGAGCCCTTATCAATCATCATCAATGATATTTGTATTCTGACAGGACACTTGAGGACAGTATGCTAAGCCCACTGAGGTAAATCAGAACGGCGTAGAATGTCAGCAACCTGAGCACCACTGAAGCGCTCGGTGCGCGCGTGCACGTTAGGATTGGAGAGCGGCGTACGTATAGTAGTTGTACTAGTACAGATGGCCTCTAGATACACCGACGATCAAGATGGTAATAGACACGAAAAGCCCAAATCGAGAGACCGATTGAAGCACGGGTCCAACGCTACAACCACTAGCAGGGCCGGTAGGCGCTCGGATGCGGTCCTTGAGACGAATAGGGCAGTGGGGCGGCGCAATAGATCTGTTTAGTGACCGTGAGTGTGGGAGGCTCACAGACCATGCCGAGACGAGAAGACGGCTTGCCAGGACTCGGCTGGTCGATCTACGAAAGTGGCGGCGGCGGCAATTAGAGGGTCTGCGTCATCTGCGGGTAAGAAGACTTCCGATTGAGGACGTGTATTCTATGGGTGGCTAGACGGGCCACAGTTCTTAGCGCCCTTGTGGAAGCTTGTAGCAAAAGAGGGCATGAGAAGGACTTCCGCGGCGCTTGCGAGGCACCGCCCGGGGTGATTTCCCGCGGAGGGCAGCAGCAACGTGCGTGGCCTGGTTGGTTGTCGCGTTGGCAAAGGCGGACAGGGGCCGCTGTTGGCCTCACGCGAGTCGGTCGCGTGCAGTGAATACTTCATCTCAAACACTCTTCTTCTCTTTCTGCGCCCATGAACTCTTCGAATCCGCGCCTCTGAGCCACCCTCCGCTCAGATCACCATATCTGCTCTTTTTCTTTCTACTTTTTCAATGTCGAACAAAGGGCGATCTACGCCGCGCGTCGTCTGCTGCGCCATCCCGGTAGCGCGCGCCGCGAACAAGGTCCTCGTCATCACCTCGCGCAAGCGCCAGCAGAACTGGGTCGTCCCCAAGGGCGGCTGGGAGCCCAAGGACGTTGAACTCGCACAAGCGGCCCTCCGAGAGGCCTGGGAAGAAGGTCCGACCTAGCCCTTTGCCTGCGCGCACGAACCAGAAAAAATGACAACGAAATAGCCGGCGTCCGCGGCACCGTCTCGCGATTCGTGACCACCGTCCAGTCGCCAGCGACGACATATCATTTCTTCGAGCTCGACGTCGTCTCGCTCGACGCAGACTGGCCAGAAGCCAAGGAGCGCGCCCGCGAGTGGGTCGACTTTCCCGAGGCGCTCCGGCGCATGGCCTGGAAGCAGGAGCTCGCACAGGGTCTCGCGCTATGCTCACTCAACACCCAGCTCCCGCGCCGGTAGTCTCGAATCACATCACATCGCCCAGCTACTACACACTCAGCATACCTTACGCTCGTCACCCCGATATTTTCGCCCATACCCACTTTATTTTTCTTCTTTTTGTTCTTGCTTCTCGTCTCGTTTCTCGTCTTTGTCGCACCGTACCGTATTTGCAACCTCCGCATCGCTGAATCGAATTGCCCCGTAGACAAACACAACTCATCACTGTACATCCTAGCGCCCGCTCCCTCTGCTAATTCAGCCCATTACAGGACTCACCCTCGCCTGCTTGCCGCCCTGACATCAGATGCATACACATTTTTTGACATCTTCCCTGTACATCCGCCTTACAAGCGCCCTGCGATCGTACGCGTCCTCCTTGCGCCCTTCTAGCGACTTGGGTTTGCTATCGCGGATTGCGCCCACATCCTGTGTTCATCCACATTGGCCGTGCAGGCGTGGATGCCGGTGCAAGTCACCGCGGTGACGTTCCTTCTCTCCTGTTCTCGCCGCCCGTATATTGAAATTGCCCCGGAACCGAAACTGTATCGGACCCCAGTTCCAACTCCGCGCGCGGCTCCCGACGGCCACGTACCTGTCCGGCGCCGCGGTCGTTGCTTCGCACAGTCCGTACGCTGCTAAGACTCGTTTCGGGGTGGCGGGCTGATCATGATTGAACGGCCTCGGTCACATCTGGACTGTGCTTAGCTTATAGCCTAGGTAAGCAGACCCTGGACGAACTGAGTCCGACCGACTGACACGAAGTCTCTAGCGCTCGGCGCCGAGCGCGCAGATGGACTGGCATATGCATGCGGTCATGGGCTAACACGCCGAGCCGCCATCGCGATCGATGGTCAACGCGGCTGACGGACTGCGGAAGGCAGATATCGCTCTCGAGCCCATCTAATCGACTACAGTATATCGTTATGCAGCTTGGAAGAGCAGGACAGGATGCTTTTGGGGCTTTGTGCGCTCGATGCGCTGAGTTTGAAGTGCGACGGTCTGATTGGGAACGAGAGTGTAACGCCGCCGGCTTTGGAGAGCCTATTGCGACGTGTACATGTCTACATCTGGACGGTGCACGGGAAGGCCGCAGATCCATGCACGTTGTTCTTTCTCTTCTACATCTTCGAACATGTCGCGGGTTACACGTCCGCTCTACGCACGAGCGGCGCGCGTTCTTCTCCGGGGAGTACGGCCTGCGCCTTGTTACATGTACGACGGCGACGGGGATATCCAAACGGGCGATCCTGTACGTATGAAGAACTGGGAGAAGCAAGAAGTATATGTACTCGTGCGTGGCTCGATATACAACGTGCTTCGTCCTCCGTGGGCCACCCTGCGCGCGTGTATACCATGCTGACCCATGCGCGCCGTCATGGGTAGCGCTTAGACGGGGGCGGCATAGGCATGTACGCGAGGGAAGCGGAGAAGTTGTCGGGGATCGTACAGCTCCTCCTGCTCCTCCTCTCCTTCCAATTGTACACGTACTGACTGATCGTTGTGGGCGGTGACAAGACGTGTTTGCATATTTCATCGGGATTCTCGAGGACGAAGATCGCAACTTCCTCGCACAGCCGTTTCATCTCCGAGCACTGAAGGTGGACACACAACCCACCCTAAGCCTAACTTCCTCGTCGTCAAAGTGATACATCAGCTAAGTTCAAACCTTCCCACTGGAGTCAGGACGTATGAAGAAGCGTGTTGGCCGTGTGTGCGTCAGCGGCGGCTTTCCATCCAGGAAAACAGGCGCGCTCGGGCCGTGCGGTCCGGCGCGCGGAAAGACGCGTGACGTCACGCGTTGAGGCGCGTCGAAAGCGAACCGGTTGACCGGCGAAGGTTCGGGTTTCTCCTGACGGTCATCATGCACTGCCGTCTGCATACAAGTACGATGGAACACGCCGTTCGTCTACGAATGAGCCACAACTTGTACTCGGGTACACGACCGCCTGCGTCGGGTTCGACCCCGTCGCTATCTCTCGCCTTTATCGCCCGAACGCGAATAGCCCTTTCCACTTGCTCGGTATACAAACTTCGACCTCCGTGCGAGCCGAACCAAACTCCATCACGTCTATGAAAGCCTCGGGAGTGACGCGTACCCGTACGGTCTTCGTCTTGCGGTCCCCTTTGCTGATACTGGTGCTTGTCTCGAAGTACATCTCGTCGTAGTGCTCGGAGAGCCCGGGGAACGCAGTGCGCGCGGCATACACGAGGCTCTACATGACCCGCCCCTCAGTTTAGGTCTCGAGAGACCGCAACTATGAGAGCTCACCTCGTAACCATTCCTCCTATCAATTGCGACGAGCACGCGCGTCCTCTTGTGGCGTAGTACGAGCGGCACGGGAAGCGACGACGCACCAGGATGGCTCGGCCATCCCGGGAAACCGATAGCTGGTAGTAGAGGAGGAGGTGACGGCGGCGGTGATGAGTAAGGCGTGGACGACGCGGACGTAGGCACGTATATCGTCGCTTGGTCAACGTCGAGCTCGAACTCAGAGAGCTCTTTGATGGTCTGCATCGCTATCCCAGATGTTGGGACCGCGTCGCTATCTCACTCGTCTCGCCTTCCCTCCACCGTCTTATGAGGCGATGGCGCGCGGGACGCCCAGGACCATCTGTCACTCTTCGGCCGCACTGGGAGCGTTCTCCCGTCTGCGATGCCCGACGTTGTCCCAATGGAGAGATCAAGAGCGCTCTTTGGGTTGATCCAGGGCCGACTGCTGTCGTGACGTTTACACAAGGCAATGTACTTAGACATTCCTTCCTCATTCCGTAGTTGTCATCATTATTCACACACCATGACTATGCGCGACAACGAACAGTACAGCTCGCAGTCGAGTCATCCACTAGCTATCTGAATACATCTTCAGATCCCGTTCGAGCGTCGCGTTCACACGCGAACTCCCAAGAACCGCTTCCACCCTCCCTTGACGCAGATCTCAACCTCAGTGGAAGACGGACCAGGTGTCACGACTTGAGGCCACGCCTCCGGAGTAATGCGTACGCGCACAAACTTCGCCTTGGACCGAAAGCCTGTGCCGATTTCGACGTCCGTCTTCAGCTGGATCTTGCTGTTGCATGCGGTGAGGTTAGGGAAGAGTGTCCGCGCCAAACGCAAGATGTCCTTAACGATGCAAGTATCTCAGGATCCTGATCTCGGATAGATCTGAAAGATACGAACCTCATAGGTACTATTCTTATCGTGTTTGACGAGCGCGCGCTCCCCTCTGTAGCACAGTACAACGAACACGGGGGCGGGCGACGGCAGCGGTGGCACCGGCGGCGGATAACCCATGAGTGGGCCAGGATAAGCGGGGTAGCCAGGGTTACAGGCAGCAGGTACGGTGAGGGGTGGGGGTGTCACTGAACGCGCCAGCGATGGCGTCGATGCGTCGAATGATTCGCCGTCATCGCAGAACATCGCAGCGCCAGGCGCGTACTTGTATCTCTCCTCGAGGGATTGCATGGTGGCAGTCCTCGAAAGGCTTTCCGAGTCGACATCACAGGCCCTTATACGAATCGATACGCGGGGCGCCCATGGCGATGCATTTTTCGAGAAAAACAGCGAGGAACATCTCGGCGCTTGCATGGGCGGAGCTAAGGGATCCAGTACACTGCTTAGCGCTTAGCGCGGTCCGAGGACGACCGATGTCATGGCGCTCGTCCTGAGACTCTCGTGCTGCTCTCTGTCGCTGTGACACTAGATGGCTCGCACTCTTCTCACATGGCATTGCATTGTAAAGATGTATCAAATGGCAACGTAAGAACGTGAGCTGGTAGAGTACACAAACGATCTATTCTGATTCGGGTACACAGATGTCATATTCATTCCAGTACACCTTCTCAGCGGCACCAACTAACTTCAACCATTGAGCCATCAGCATCTGCTTCTCTATGCCCACATTGAACTGTACGCCGGCATCTACGATTAGAGACGCTAAAGGGCGAGGTCGTTCTCCATCGAGGTCGCCCACGAAACGGTGTGCCAGCCTGATACAGAAACGATTGAGGTTGATGGGCGGCCCCGAGTACCCAGGAGAGAGCCGAAGCACTTGGATGCTGGGAAGTGTTCGGATCTCTTCGCCGCCGCGTTCTCCGGCGAACTCATAGCAGACATCCTTGATGATCTGATCGTCGACCCCCTGGAGATGTAGAACGCGCAGGGCTGACATCTGGGAGAAAACAAAGCGAGCGTCATCAGAGCCTTTCTTCTGATAGCATCGTTCATTGTCGGTGCGCACAACAGAAACAACCTCCACAGAGTTGAGCGCGCTCGGGTCCCAGTCCCTAGCGTCTGTCTCCAATGTGCGAGACAACGGCGAGAAGATGTCCTCCTGAAGATCCTCCATGAAGAGTGTGTCGAAGTATAATCTCCGCTGGCCAATGTCGGGTAAATCGACGAAGAGTTCGCCTCTGCCCGCAAGGCTAGTCGAGGAGAGCGCACGAACGGAAACAAAGTTGTTTTCGCCGGGGAGTGTGTTGAAAACGAATCCGTATGAGCCAGTTCGTGCAATGATCTCGTCACTGAAGGACCTCAATGCATGGTGAAAGATAGTACCCGGCGTGCCCGGCGGACCGTTAAGGACAACCTCGTCGCCAAGATCATGGATGGCGACATCGCATGTTGAGGGATATGCGAACTCCGTCACGTCAAACAATGTGCGCGGCGAGCCGCCCACGACAAGTTGCTGTAGAACCGGGAGGTTAATCGGATCCCCCTCAGGCGTCATGCCTTCCACATAGCAATGTATGAGCTCCAAGTTTCGAAGAGTGGGACCGCAGCATTGAAGCATGTCGAGAAGGCCTATAACTTCGTCGAACGTAGCGTCGCTTTCTTCGCCGGCGGCCTCGAAGGTTATCGACAGATGCCGCAGAGAGCTTCTGGGAGGCGTGATGAAGAGGTTTCTCAAGCTGAGGGGGTGTAGCAGCGTCGTGGAAGACTGGTCGTCCAGAATGGATCGTTTGTCCGGGCTCATGATGGATATGTCCATCCTCTCGAGGGTGTTCTCGTATGGGAAAAGGACATGGAGTAGATGTGTAAGCTCAACCTCAGTGGTTGCGCTGCGGGGCTTCAAGAGGATGCCATGGACTGCTCGTACGATGGGGGCTTCGGCGACGCGATTCACTGGTAGGCCATGAACATCGAGGTTCGTGTCTTGGCAGAGGGTGACTGTAAGAGGGCATGCCCCCGCGCGAACGAGCATGTCGCTGGTGGCCAAAGGGAGGACACCGATGTTGTCCGCCCAAACGCGCTTCATCGATAGCAAGATATCGCGCCACGTCTTGCATACATGTGACAGTCGCACAAAGCCAAGAGAGCCCTTCGTAATCCCAGACGCGTTACCGCGTCTGAGAGATTGTTGCGCGGTGGAAGCGTCATCTTCGGGCGGGACGTATCCTGATTTGTTATAATTTGACAGTTGCGGGGTGGAGGGAGGGTCGACCACGGCCAGCAGCGAGAATAGCACTATTTGTATGTCGACAGATAGGCGGAAGAAGGGGGTGCAGTGAGTGCAAGTATTAGGCTTCCTATACCATTGTCAGAAACTGGAAGATACGTATACAACTAGAGAGAACGCACCACGATGGCCCACGACATTTCGCACATTGGATCGGCACCATAATTGCTGGGTTCTGCCTCTAATCGGTAGAAGCGTCAGCGCCTGCAGAGCGTTATTTGGACGAGAAGACTCACCGGTTACGAAGGTGATGCAGGTTGAAGGTCAAGAAGCGTCAGCGGGGGGATCCAAATATATAACGGCGCGTGCGTTCCTAAACCACATTCCGTGAGTGCGAAATCAGGCGTGACCGGGGGTGGTTTGAACCACGCGGGCCTCGCTTGGCAACCACGACCATACCAATGCGAGAGAAAAAAAGACCTCTATTGTTCATGCGTGCGAGTATCGCCCGCGGCGGGAGCTGGTGCGCTCGCGTAGGTTTGCGAAATTCATGGTAAGGGTTTGGACGAAGAACCTCAAAGCGTGTCGAAAGCCAATAAATACACCCGTATGACCTATCAGAGGTCGTACTCATAATCTACAACCTAATCACATCTACTCATTCCACCTGCACAAAGCGTATCGGTATGAGATTGAGAAGCGATCGAGGAGGTTAAGACGTACGCGACGAGGAACATGCACAGCACGCCAAACGCCATTGCGGCGAACTCGCGCAGCGCCTGCTTTCCACTTTTGCTGTCCTCCAGCAACGTCGGCAGAACGGCAACTGCGCCGATGTACATGAAGCCGCCCGCGACAAACGGAATGACTAGGTCAGCCATTTGGACCGTCGTTCCCAGTATTCCTGCGGCTGTCTGCCTCACTGCAGCGGCCAGATCGCCGGAGACGTCCTCGGCGCCGTCGACAGATGCCAGGTTGTGCACCGCGATGCCCATGAATGTGCTATATCATCCACATTAGCCGGTTGGAGCTGAGATAGAGGGCGAACGTAGCGTACCCGACGAAAGCGCCGACTGCAGTCAAGAACTGGCTCTGCATCGCCTGTCTCTTGGTGAATCCGCTCCGAATCAAGATCGAGTAATCGGCGATCTCATGCGGAATCTCGTGTGCGAAACACGCGAGCGTTGTCGTGGCGCCGATGAGTGGAGAGCTGTAGAATGACGCCGCCATGGCGAGGCCATCGGTGATGTTGTGTACGAAGTCGCCGAAGAGGTTGAGGTAGGCTGAGAGTTTGCTGGGACCCTTGCTGTCGCCATGTTCGTGCTCGTGTGCATGATCGTGCTCGTTCTCATCCTTCTCTGCGGTACCGTTGGATTTGCGAGATCGCAAGCCATCGTTGGCAGGTTCGGATACCGCCGTGGAGGCGCCGATGGAATGAGTGTGTTCATGTGAGTGTGAATGAGAGTGCGAGTGGCCTTCTTCGCCGCCGAGTACGCGAAGAGTCTTCTCCATGACGAAGAATGTGGCGAAGCCGATGAAGATGCCCAACCTGTATATACATCAGACTTAGACAAGTGACAACTGAGGTTGATGTGGTGATACGTACCCGACCAGGATATTGCGCTTCTCCTCGACCATGACGAAGTGTACGCCATGCCCGGAGTGTTCGCCCATAAATGAGTGAGGCACAAGATGGAGGAATACATCTGAGAGAAGACCGCCGGTCTAGCAAATGATAATGGTCATGACTTTGCGGGCGCGCGTGAGTATAATTCAGACGTACGGCGAAGGCAGTCATGGTGTTTAATGTGTTGCCATTGATCTGGGCGGGGATGAAGGCGAGGATGAAGTTAGGCACGCTGTGTCGTATGAGCGTCTATGTCGACACTGGGCGCAAGGACAGGGACTCACGAGGAGATATAGAATGTTCCGAGGACTAAATCGCAAGTCAGCATGCAAGTCATGTAAATTGACGAGATATACGCACCGGAGTTCCATCCAGGGCCGAATGGGAATAACCAGGCAAATACTTGCCGCATGAGCGGACTCGAGGCCTCCTCAACTTCCTCTTTGATCGCGGATAGCGCCTCGACAGCGCCGCAAGCCGCCACATCTGCTTCCTACATCCGTGCCGTGCGGTAGCACACAGGTAGAACATTCCGCGCATAGAGGGTGTGTATGATATACAAGGAACAAAGAGCACGTGTGCGCGTCAGTCTCGTTCAGATGTGGGAAGGAATATCACCCACGCGGATAACCCCAGACGCGTATTCGGCGGGATGCTTCAGCGAACCATTGTGCGCTGCGGCCAACGCAGCCAGCACCGACAAGCCCAGCAAGAGTGTTGTCCTCCTTGAACGCGGGGACATGGTGGTAGAAAGGTAAAGAGCGAAACTAGTGGAGATGAAACGTTGTAGGACGTGTTGGACGCCCGGCGGTCGTGGCAGATGCGAGTATACTTGTGAGAAGAAGCGCGCGTCGGGACCGCGCCGGTGTTGATGCGATGTTCGAACGCGCGATCACGAGTCTTTTCTTCCCGCCGCCATCTGCGTATCTGGAGGAGTGACTCGAGTGTATCTCGCGATGTGTGGACATCTGATACACGCCAACGTCGTCTGGCTGCAAGTCCGCTATCGACGCCGTTCGTCTTGTCCTTGAACCACCATCTAGCAGCCTCCATCATGGCCACTGCGACTGCCAGCTATCCGACTGAAGATGAGAAAATTATCATCTCAGCTGCTGAAGAGCTCATGCGGGAAACTATGGCCCGCTATGATTGCAGTCATGACGCTTATCACGGCAAGGCTTTATCACCTATATCACGCCCCTCGAACTGACCTTCAACGCCACAGTCGAGCGTGTTCGCAAGACAGCTCTTCAACTCGCTCGCTCGGTCTCCAAGACTCCAGATCTCTTGACCGTAGAACTCGCCGCTCTCTTGCATGACGTCCTGGACAAGAAATATGTCTCTGCGGAAGAAGCAGCAGACCCATATGCTTACTTTCTCCCTTTCTTCACCGAATTACACTCGCGCGCTCCATCAATCAATCTAGTTGAGGACGGGCGTGCGAAAGCCATAGCGATGATCGTCGAGAACGTGAGCTGGAGCACGGAGAAGAAGTTGAGGGCCGCTGGCAAGTGGGGAGAGTGGCATGAGGAATGCGTAGAGCTACATTGTGTGCAAGATGCGGATAGGTTGGATGCTATTGGCGCATTCGGTACGTGCCAGTCACTTACCGGTAACATACGGTGACTAATGGTGTATGGCAGGTATCATGCGCTGCGCTGCATTTACCGCTGCTACCAATAACTCTCTGCATGCGCCTGAAGGCGATCCGCGCCGAGAAGCGTCTACAGTACAACACTTCTATGACAAGCTCCTTCACATTAAGGATCGCATGAAGACGGAACCTGGTAAACATGCCGCCGAACGCCGGCACAAGCTTGTAGGATTCATTGCTCTTCCAAGTAGTTTCAAACTTACGCTAGTCATCGTTTCAGATGCTCGACTTCTTGCAAGGCGTTGACGAGGAGTATAACGCTGTATTATGAGCTCCACGATGCTCTTAACCCCTTGTACTCTCAATGTGATGAAGCCTTGACATTCTACACTCTCCGATATGTCCGTAACTCTTGCGCGACGCCACTAACTGTATGAAGAGTGCAAGTGTGAGACCCACAACCTCGGCCACCTGTATAGGTCATCTCCTCGTGCCGTCATCTACCGCTTCGTCATGCTCTCGGCAAGTGCCCTACCCGCAGCATCGACATCTGTCCCGCGCTTTAGTCGGACTTCGCCATGGTCTTCCTCATACAACGATCTACGCTACGCACCATCAAGTGCCTCGACTCTACACACCTTCATCGGACAGCTCGGGCAATTCTAGGGGATCAGCACGATCTAAGGCGCTCTATACCGGTACCGAAGGCGACGCGTTCTCCTGGCATAACCAACTTAGCCGGTGCCCTGGTGTGAGCTCCTACAGTATCAGTCCGACTCGGTGCTTCCATTCTTCCTACAGCAGACCGTGCATGGCCTATGCGTGTCGACCTGGCCAAATATGGGGCATGATCTGCAAGATAGAAGCGCAAAAGGCTACACAGGGAAGGCTATGCGAGGCTATGGTGTGACTCCGCTTCGATGGCATCTATCCAACCCTCGTCGTACTCGTGTGGACTCATGACGAGGCTGACTGTCCAGGTCCCACATGGCCCAACGCACGGCTATCCATCACTCTCGTGTATATCGCCCATACCGAATGGAGGTAGCAACACGAGGTTCACGACTTCAGAAAGACACTCACCGGGCATCATACAGCTTCGCGATCACAGATATCGTACAGACAAACCCGACCGTGCAGCCCGATCTCATCTCATTTATCTTGCTACGTATCGCTAGATACACGCCAGTACGCCGCCTGTAGGTGGAAGCGCAGAATAGAATGAAGGCATGTAGAGTTTGCACTTCTCTGAAGAACATGCATGCCGCATGCAATTCAACACCTGTTTAGCGCCCATGCCAGCTGAAGAGCATAGCCTTGCGGGCGTTCCGCCCTTTGCCCCGCGTGTTTAAAAGCGGGTACTACTCGGCTCTAGATTGACCCAGGCGATATCACCTCGATGCAGCCTTCAACACTGTATCCACCTCCTGCGCCCATACCACCGGTCGATTTGGGTTTGGACCAAAGCGAACCATTCGTACCGATCCCGCCGTCGCCGACAATGTGTTACGCGCCATCGCCTTTACCTCCGATGTACCCATCGCCACCTACTCCTCCGAGCTTGCTCGCGGTATCGTACAAGCGTACCCGAGTATTGATCAAGTGGCCGCAAACCTACGGGGTACGCTCTATCGTTCTATCACGTACCTTTCGTTCCCTCTGACGTCCATTCCTCCTGTCGTTCAGGATATGCTCGAAGCCGTACGCATCGCGTTCCCTCAAATTACCAAGGACGACGCCAAGATCTACTTCGAGACGCGCGTCAGCATAGACACGAAGGACTACAAGACCAAGCCCGAACGCGCGCGCGTCACGCCCGAGTCGTGGATCGGCATCCAGCCGCCTTGGGGTCCCAGTATGGGCATTACTGAGATAGACGTGAAGACGCAGAGGAAGGCGTGGAACCTGGTCAAGGTGTACCAGCATGGCCGGAAGGGAGTCGATGGGGTGGACGAGAAGCGGTGAGGTTGTGGAACGGTTGCGCCGGACAATGAAGAGGTTGCTGTTTACGAACGATTGGCGCCTTGACGAACTTTGAACGAACTGCATGTACGACTCGATAAGGCATCGTGCAACCTTGATCTTGCATGACATCACGACCGAGTACGATAGGTCCTCAAGCATCAACACTCGCACTCCCTCGCTTACAGTAAGCCCGAACCCGAGTTCTGGCATATTCGGGTCAATCGGACCGGACTCATCAAATGAGCACGCCTCCCAGCAGACTCTCAAAGCCCGACTTAATCAAGAACGCTCATGACGTTCCGTTCCAAGTAGACTCGCGTACAGCGTATTGCTGTAACGTCGTGGTCTGTCTCTGGTGAACTCGCTGATTCTTCGCATGGCAGTGAATTTGAAGGACGAGTGCAAAGAGCCCAAAGCTTCGTTGAACAGACACGGCGGCGGCCGGCACTATCATTTATCACCTGAACGAACTCTACGCTCAAACTGAATAGACACACGTATCCTTTAGGCCCTGTTCGGCAACCGAATTTCCAAGTCCATTCGGCCGGAAAGCCAGCTTTCCGGCATTTGTCCGCGGTGATTTGGCTGGTGGGAAGCGGCGACTGATGCCGGAAAGACGGCAGAAAGCAGCTTTCCGCGCGGTAATTCGGTTGCCGAACGGGGCCTTTAGCATCCCTACTGGGAAAGCTCGCACGCATGAGACCCCTCAATACCCGCAGCACAGCCTTCACTGCAGCTTCAACTCCCGATAAGAAGGACTGAGTGTGAGTAGGTCTCGCCGACGCGACCGTCACCCTGTCCACCACCGTGCCGAAGGTCTCGTTGGCAATCCCAATGCCGGTGCAAAACAGCAGTCCAAGAATGTTGGCGATGCGCCACAGAGGTGTTCGCGTGCTCGTGAAATGGCCGGAGACCTACGAGGCGCGTCATCTACATCTTGCCTCTCACCACCACTACCTCCACTTACACCCATGCCTTCGCACAGAAACTCCTCGAAGCGGCGCGTATCGCCTACCCAGGTCTCCCAATGGATGACGCCAAGATCTACTTCGAGACGCACATCATCCTTGACGACAGGGACCACTTGTACAGCTACATGCACCGTAAGTTGAAGAACGAGCCCGCTCGGGTGACGCCGGAGGTGTGGACTGAGATACCGCCGCCTTTGGGGCAGCGTGAAGGGAAAGTGAACGAGGTCGAGGTTAGGACGTTGAGAAAGGCATGGGGGTTGATGAGGGTGTATCAACTTAGTCGGGAGAGGGGTGCCAGGGTATCCGAGGACACGATGGGATGCTGAAACGCCCGTGGTTCATTGGCCGTATGGCGCATGATGATGGGAATCTCGTATCTTGTAGTCCTCCTGTGAATACTCGCATGATCAGAAGATTAGCGCCCAGTGCAGAACAGACTCTCAATGAGCGATGATAAGATGCTAGTACATGTAACGCCGGGTGATCAGGGCATCGCTCAACGAGGAGGCTCACCCCACACATCCACCACTGCTAGCCATCTTGCAGTCGTAGTGCGTGAATGGAGATCCAGCCGAGGGGCCCATTCGCGTGGAGAATCAAAGGGAGGCGTCGTCTCGATGCATCCAGCAAAGCGGACGCTCCGAGGGTGTTGGCGATCCGCCACAAGCGTACCAGAGTGTTGATCCAATGGCCGGAGACGTATGAAGTGCGCGTTCATTTCCTTTGTCCTTCCATCGAATGTCCTGACTGTCGATCCAGGACCTACTCGCCGCATCGCGTCGCGCGTTCTCCTCTCTCCCGAAGGACGATGCGAAGATATACTTCGTGACGTTTGCCGAACTCAATAGGAAGGAGCACTGGATAGTGAAGAGGTTCACGACAGGAAATGTGCGTGTTGCGCCTGAGGTTTGGGGTGGGATTCGACCGCCGCTTGAGCATGGGGGTCCGGGCGTTGTTAGGGAGGTTGAGGTGAAGACGCAGAGGAGGCCGTGGGACATGATCAGGACGTGTCAGCGTGACCTGAGGGAAGGTGTAGAGGAGAAGGCAAAGGACTGAGGCTGGCGTGCGTCTGGCTGGGTCTTACGGAGTACTAGGCGGCGGCCGATGTCCATGATCCATCATCTCATTGAACCCTACGCTCAGACTGAATGAAAACGCGCGTCCTTTGGCATTCCTACTGGGAAAACTCGCACGTGTGAGGCCCTTCAATACACGCAGCACAGCCTTCACGACAGCTTCGACTCCCGATAAGAAAGCATATAGAATCATGTGTAGGCAGTTTTCGTCAAGGCGATCTTCGCCCGTCCACCACCACTGTGACGACGCCGGTATAGACGCCCACGATGCAACACAAGAGCCCAAACATGTTGTCGATGCGCCACAAGGGTGTTCGCGTGCTCGTCAAATGGCCAGAAACATACGAGGCGCGTCGTTCATCTTCCCTCTCACCTCCACTACCTCCGCTGACGACGTCTGCCCCTACGCACAGAAACTCCTCGAAGCCGCACGTATCGCTTATCCGGGTCTCCCAACGAACGATGCAAAGATCTACTTCGAAACGCGCGTCATCCTCGACGACAAAGACCACCGATACAGCTACGTGAATCGCCGCACAAAGAACAAGCCCGCACGGGTGACTCCGGAGGTCTGGACCGAGGTTCCGCCGCCTACGGGGCCGCGTGAAGGGACGGTCAATGAAGTCGAGGTTAGGACGTTGAGGAAGGCGTGGGGGTTGCTGAGGGTGTATCAGCTTGGTCGGACGAGGAGTGGGGGCTCCGAAGATACGACGAAGGTTTGAGGTTCCTCTGGTTCCTTGGCCATATGATGATGTGCATCGCGTAAACTGTACTCCCTCCGTAAGAATTCGCATGATCAGAAGATTAGCGCCCAATGCACATACAGCAAACACTCAAGCAGTTGTTCAAGCCGAGCGAAGGCAACCGTTATAGAGGAGGCGGACCCTGCGCATGATAAGTAACAAGTATGTGAAAGAGTAAAATAGAAAATGCAGCTCGTCCATGAGGACTGATTCCAAACAGGCTATTGAGCTCGATAGAGCTAATAGCTAGCACAGCGGCTTGTGCTGCATACTAGAAATGTCATGATATATTCCAAGATTCTCAACGTTGCGCGAAGTACGATGCGATCCGAAGAGCCGGGAGCGAGTGTGAGCGAGTGCGAGGATGGAACCGAGTAAAGACCCGGGAGCCTCGGTGTAGGTACTGGTGCAGCACGGGATAGCTGACACCATACATAATAGGCGAGCGCATGTCCTAGCTTTTGATGAGTGATGCGAAAAGCCCAGGCATTGGCATTCCGAGCGACGCGGCGTTGGTCACGAAGAGTTGCTAGAGTGCTTGAAAGCGCCTAGACGGCAGAATTACATTCCGGCAGTACGCTGGACGAAGTACTGAGGCTCACGCTATGCAAGACACCTCAAGCATCACAACTTACCAGACCATCCTCACCGTCACTTCGCCGCGCCTCTCGCATCGACGACGCGGGGGGCGCGGCGAGCGCGGCCCGCAGGCGCTCATCGCTCTAAGCTCATGCTGCTACGAGAATCTATCAAACATAACCATGCATCCTTCCCCATCCGTCTTGCAGGCATGTGCAGGCGTGTACGAGCACAAGAACATAAGAAGTACACAACAAGCTCAAGCATCACGGCGGTCCTCCGCAACCCGCGCCACACCCCCTCCATTTCAGCTCGCATGTGATTAGCTGTACTTCGCCGACAGCTTCCATACCCAAACCTCTCCGCATGTCCTTTTGGCGCCAATCCACAGATCGTGTACGGATATAGAAGTAGGACGAGCTTGTTGGGATGTTGACGTTGATGATGGTGTTTTGAGGAAAACACATGCGAGTTGCGTCTGACGATGATCTCGGCAACTGTGTGGTCTCGACGTCGGCGCGGAGAAGTTAGAGCTCGTTCGAGCGGGGGTCTTTAGCTTGTGAGGAGCCGTTGAGTTTACAAGGCTAGATACAGATGTACATGATAATGGCAATCCTGATAATCCCGAGACGATGTGCTATGCAAAGATGACGATGCAAGAGGGTGCCGGAATCGAAGCGTCCAGATTGGATGGTATCGGACGAAAGCGGATATACAGCGAACGAAAGCCGAGAGCGTAGAGCCAAGAAAGAGCCGACGGCACGAAAGAATACGGTCGAGGAGGGAGGCAGGCGACTACTCGTCGTCACCACCGTCGTCGTCATCATCGCCACCCTGTCCGCCCGTCCACTCGCGCTCCCACAGCGGCTGTTCGGGGGCACACGCGGGCATATGCCCAGGATGTCCCGGCGGAAGCGCCGAGCGCGCATGGTGCAGCCTGTCCATGAGCACAGTGCGCCGTGCCAGCAGACTCTCGATATATTCGACAGCTATGGCATAGAAGGTCAATCCTCAAGCCCCAGCGTCAAAAACAAGAGCTTTAGATACGCACTCTTCCCAAGAACGACGTTCTCGCTCCTCGGCCCGGCCCTCCCATCCGCCTTATCCTCCTCCTCCCTATCCTTCCCCTTCCTCCGTCGACTCTTCTTCCCACTCTGCGCCGCGCCCGCCTCCTTCGCCGCCGCCGTCGCCGCATCCTCCGCCGCGATAGCCTCCACGAGCGCGGGGATAGTACTGCAGAGCGCCTCGTACCCCCGTCTGATATTCGCGCGGCGCTTCTGCTCGCTCTGGATATGATTCGCCTTCTTTTGCGACGGCGTGAGCAGCGCGGGTTTAGCCCCTCCACTCCCCCCTTCGCCTTTACTGCTCCCGGCACCACCATTATTGTTCGATCGCGAGCTCGACGCGCGCGGCCGTTTGGCCGTTGCGGGGCTATTGGGCGCCGGGCCGTCCGCCGAGCGTTTGAGCGAAGACGAGGAAGATGCCGGTGGCATCGCCAGAGGCGACGCGGACGAGGTCGGGGATACGTCCCCCAATAAACTTTGTGACGACGTGCTCTGTGCGCGCGGATAGGCCGGTGGCCGCGCGAGATCCGGGTGGCCTCTGAGCGCCTGTTCCCAGGTATGGAAGCTGCTCACGAGCGAGTGCTGGGGCATCACTGGCGGTTGGCCGCGAAACATGTCCTGATGCGGCGCGCGAGGGGGATTACTGTTCAACATCGGGTTGATGTTCTGTCCCAGTGTTGGGGAGGCGGAGGAGAGGGACATCAGGTCTTTCGTCGCCTTTGCGAGCGCTTCGCGGCCTTGGGCGTGTGGGATAGGCACGTCTTCGCCTAGATTTGCCCATTCGCTCGAGGCGACGAGCGAGTCGACGAGTGTGCCGTCGTAGTTTATGTTCGACAGGAAACTCTTGATCGCATGCGCCTCGTTCGCCGTGAGCAAATCCTCCATATTGTTCTCTCCAGCGTGTAGTGCAGTATGGCGTGGTAGTGGCAATAGAAGAGAGAGAGAGCTGAAAGATAATGGCGGATGGCGGACGAAGCCAAGTTCCGCTTCGACCTGCTGGTCGACTCTTGGACGAGCGTTTACACTACTTCCCCACACGACCCCAGACCCGGCATGTGCCTCCTTTCGATCGATCAGTTACCTCGCCCCGACTCGGAACTCAGCTGATCCCCCGCCCGCGCTCTTATAACCTGACCACCACCGACAATGACCGAATGGGCGATCCCGGAACAGCGGCGCGCCGTACCGGAAGGCAGACGCTGGAATGCTTTGCGCCTACGAACATCCACAAATAGGCGCCTATTGCTTGTGAAACACGAGCTTTGTGAGCTTGATAGATGGTCGCCACAGCTACTTTCGCGGCGGGTTGACCGCGAAGACTGTACTTTTTTGGTGGCATTTACGATAGGAGGCTCTGTGTACGTCTTCGGTCCCGCATCCGCGCAGGCTGCCTTAGCGTATCGAAGCTGCGAACCAGGGCTCTGACGTTGTCCTTTGATCTCCTCTTTTTGGCCCTCGACTCTCGCGCTGTACCTCTCTATTCCCGACCTTCTCCGAGCGCCAGCAGACCCAGCTCTCACCTCTCTTGCATATGGGGGATGTCGCTCAAACTTCGTCTCATGAGCCAGGTACACGTCGAGTACTCAAAAAAATCTGGATAGATGCGATTGTGGTCTGATCTGCGTGTGCGCAATGCGCATTTGCGATGCTCATTTTCGTGACGTCAGATCGGCGCATCAGCAAGTTCCGTGCTACCGCTCTCGGTCTCCCGCGGCCTCTATGATCAGTCTTCGAGTACGTTTTCTACACTTCTTTCACTTTGCGAGCCCTCACAAACAAGGCGATCCGTCGATAGTTCATATCGGCTCGCGAACCTACCCGACTTGAACTCAAAGCACGGCAACTTCACTAGCCGAGGCCGGTGAGGCAGGACAAAGCTACTGCTGCGCATATCGACACTTGCACATGTACGCAGGACAACCTTGACCAGGTGTATATAAGGTAAGCGAGTGGCTTTGTTTGATCTTATGGAAGCTGTCGGTGAAGTTGACGCGTAGGGGCAAAATCACATGCAGATGGTCCATAGATGTGTGGCGAGAAGGTGTAGCACAGTTCGCAGGGTACACGTACGACCCGGTCATACGCGCGCACCAGCTCCAACTTCTCCTCTACGCTCTCTGATGCCTTTCTCGATGTCTTCACCTCAACCTTCCTGACGGCCATGATGCTTGAGCTTGTTGTGTACTTCTTGGGTTCTTAGCCTTTCCATCGAACACAAGCACGTAAGAGTCCTTCCCCTTCCATCTTGCAGGGCGTTTCCGCGCATTCTCCTTGCGGTGTGGGCTGAGATCTCGGGCGAGCGTCTGCTGGTGCGCTAATGCGACGTTGATGTAACTCGCAGCAGTCTTGGACAGCGCAGGAGTGTATGCGCCATTGTACTACCATCGATGCAAGGACTTCTCCGGTTACTTACCCACCCAAGACTCGCGTACCCCAATGCTGCACGCTGACAGCTTCCTGTGATGATCCAGCACCTACACTGATACTCCCGAGCATTCATTCCTCGCGACCCGCCCTCGGCGCTCGCTCGACTCTCTGCTCGCTCTCGCTTCCGCCTCTTCCGATCCCATCGTACTTCGCGCACCGTCAGACATACTTGACGATGTCGCTGCTGTCATATTATCGCCTCAGAACGGGTAGAGCTTAGCTCGATCGAGCACGCTAGTCTCCCCTCTGACTCTGAACCGGCTCAAAAGAGCGAGCTGTATGCCCTGTCCCGTTTTCAAAGGCTAGTTCACTTGCTCATCTGATCATGCGCGCGCTCCTCCTCTTCGCAATCGCACTCCCTGCGCTTGCTGTCGCCCAGCAGCAGCAGACAGCCTACGCGGCACCTGCGGCAGCATGCCCAGCGGGGTACACGCCTGCTGTACGCACGGTCGAGGTACTGGAGTGCGTTGCAAAGGATAGTATCCGGTATGTGCTCACAGCCATCTTCCATGTGCTTCAGATGCTAACCCTGTGCTAGATGCTGCGACTCTGGGAATGCCGCGAGCTCAGACAGCGATTCTCAATCGAGTTCAGCCAACAAGGCTGGCAGCGCCCGGGATGTTGAAGGAGCCAGTAACAGTACAGGAACAGGCAACGCCGGCGGAGACACAGGCTCGAACATCGACGGCGGCTCGAGCGGCTCGACCTCCCAAAGCGACCCCACGGATGCGGAGTACTGTCCCGAAGGCCCAGTACCGACATTCACCGCAGGACGGAGCTACACCCTGCAACTCGCACCCGCGGGCAACCGCTGGGCCTTCAAGTTCGCGCGTGAAACGCGGGCGAGGACGGGCGTCCCTAGTGCAGCGCAGAGGCAGAACGTCGAAAGTGCATGTAAGGTGCGCGTTCGTTCGCCCGGAGTTCCGAGTATGCTTGGTCTTGACAGCTGGCGTAGTTCCGGATTGAGAGCGTGCCGAACAAGAAGTGCCGTTTTGTGATGTACAGCTTGCATGGTGCTCCGAGTCCTGCATACCTGTCGTACAGCGGGGATGCAGCGGGTGGGCGCTCTGTGAGCGCTTCGTGGGGTGCGGATCGGCAGGGCGCTACGGAGGTGTATATCATGCAGCTCGGAGGCGGGCAGTATAGGTAGTTGTCGTCTGTCATAGTTCTTATGGTAAGACGTACTGATATTGGTTTGACCAGGGTAACCACCGGCCCTGCGTTTGATGGCGAGTGGCCGCGTCTGGGTCTAGGAAGCGGAGATGATCTGAGGTTCTCGTCGGCCGATAAAGAGACGGCATGGAAGATCGAGCCCACGACGTAGAGCATTAGACATTGGATACGTTGTATAGTAGTTCAATCCGGTACATTGTTGAGATATCATGCGTGTTCAACGTTCAAGCAAGCTTGCACACGAGCTTCTCCCGCCCATACGCCCCATCCCGCATAATCTTCAACCCCTCCTCAAGCCCCTCAAATCCCTCCCTCAACACCCTCAGCTTCTGCGTCCTGAAGTTCGGCGCGCCCTGTCCGGCCTTCCACCCATCCAGCACGCGCGGGATAACGTTGGTGTTGTATTCGAGCATGTAAGCGTAGTCGTCGGGCTTGGCGGGCATGTGCACGACATGCGCAAAGAAGACGGGGTAGCCAAGGACGGTGTAGGCGAGCGCGAGCTCTACTTTGATGTTCGGGCGGCGGTTTTGGGTTTCGTCGGGGACGGGGAGGAGGATCATGAGGTGACCATCGCGGGTGGATGACATTGCGTCCTGGTTCATGTCAGCACATCTGAACTGCATACCAGTGGGTAGGAAGACGTACGATGGTAGAGGTCGTGCTACTCTGCTCGGAGACACTGTCAAGCCCGTAGATGATCCCCTGCTCGCCAGCCGCCTCGCGGATCTTCGACACAACATCCGGGTCCTTATAGTCGAACACCCGCGACGCGCCCAAAGCCTTGACATACTCATGCGCAGAAGGCGAAGCCGTTGCGTAGACCTCAAGCCCCGACAGCGCCGCGAGCTGGATCGCATGATGACCGACGGCCGTGCTCCCGCCCCAAATGAGGATCTTCTCGCCCTTCTTCTTGAACTCGGCGGCCTCGGGCGAGAGCGGCTTGGGCACGCCGAAGCGCATGTGGATTGCCTGGACGGCGGTGAAGTGCGGGATCGGGAAGGAGGCGCCTTCTTCATAGGTCATGTCGGGCGGGAGAACGAAGACGGCGGAGGCGATGAAGCGCGCGTATTCTGCGTATGCGCCGTTGTCGGATTGCCATGAGCCACCCTCGCTGTTGAGAAGTAAGCATAGTGCAAGATCAAGAGCGCGGTAATAAACGCGTACCCAAATGCGGCGACGCGGTCTCCAACTTTGATGTGGGTGACTGCAGAGCCGACGGCGACGACATCACCGGCCGCGTCGCAGCCTGCGATGGTGTTGCCGTTGCCCCAGTCACCCAAAGCGTGCTTCCAGTCGGTAGGGTTGAGGCCCACGACGCGAACACGAAGCTGCATGCCATCCATCAGCCAATCATATACGAACGGTTGATTGACGCTCAACGTACCAAGATCTGATTGTCAGGAAGATTCTTCACCTTCTCTTGCGAGGCGAAGGGAAGATCAATGACTTTGACTGTGCGGTCGCTTTGAACCTGGAGCGCCTTGATCGTCTCGGGGAGAGAAACCATGTCGTTGACAGAAGAGTGTGGAGGAGAGGTAGTAGTAGAGCTGGAGAGTTGATGATGAAGCTGAGAGGCGGACCACCTCCAGTACTTATAGTACTAGCAGAGCGGCATAGTCGGCTACACTCTCAGAGTATCGGGACCACTCATATGCGCCAGTTGCGCGACCATGGCGGGTGAGAAGTAACCCAACGTCAGATCGAAGTCAGCCCGGTGGGGTTCGGAAATGGTAAGGCGAGGCAGAGCGGCAACAGTAGACTTCATGAATACCCCGAAGACCTCATAGTCCGCCAATTGCGCTGTAAGCATGAGAGTCAATCGGCATCTATCGGTCTACTGTGTGAGATGAGTGAACCAGGTGGTGGTCCAGGGGAGAGCGGTCGACGTCAGTACATGGCGCGTGACATAACGCGTCGTTCTCCGGGGTGTCGGAGACCGGGGCGAAGCAGGAGCGAGGTCGCCGGCTTGTTCCCGAACCATCACCTTCTGCGATAGGCTGGTCATAGGTCTACCACCGCGAAAGGCGCTTACACTTCGCTATGGCGCCGAATCGTATAGATTGCGATATCAAGGAAAGATCGATGACCAATGCGTTCGTCCCCACACTACCATCGGCGTCTCGCAGGCGGTTTGCTTCAACATGGAGGCGCGTGCCGACGGGCGCTTGTTCGAAGTTCGAGTTGCCGTTACTGGACCGGCCAACAGCCAATAGTTGACCGGACATGCCGAGGCGTTCCCATCACCACAGGAAGCAAAACATGGCAGTCTGGATGTTGTGCGGGGAACGAGTACCAGACGCGAAGATACACCCTCTCGCATGCACGTCGGGTCGCAGCTCGGCTCGGTTCCTCGAGTCGACGGCTGCATAGAAAGACACATACACGACAGAGGTCATCTCTTTATCAGTCAGGATGTATCACCCGAGCCTCATCCTGACCCTATGTGCTGCCTTGCTGCTTCAAGCCGGATGCGTTTCCTGTGGCATTCCTGTCGCTGATAAGACCGTATGCGCCGCGGGCTACGTCGCAGCCGTGCGTCAGGTACTTATCCGGGAGTGCATTGCCTCTGGCCCAGTGAAGTACGTATGGCCGAACACTTGAGGCTTGGATATCTTACTCATCGTACCACACTATACAGATGTCCGCCTAGCAGTGGCCCTGACATGGCCAATGATACTCAGGGCGTTCATGATTCGAGCAGTAATACAGGCGGACAAGGAGATGGAATCAGCAATAGCGAAGACTCTGCACCAGTACCTGCCGGCGAAGAGGAACCCAGCGGCGCTACTGAAGAGACTGGACACGACGCGGACGAGGCGGGCAGCGATGAGCCGAGCCCGGAGGATGAAAGTCAGATATCTGAGGAGGAACCCTTCGAGACCGCCACTGGGAGCACGGATGGAGAGGAAGGCGCGGCTGACAACCCTTCCGACCCGGCCGATGATACTAGCGATGCTAGAGCGACAGATGGAAGCGATGGGCGAGATACTACACCACAAAACAACGAGAACTGTCCCGCAACAATCCCGAGCTTCAACTCGCGGACAACCTATACCTTGCAAAGGGGCCCTGCAGGGGACTTATGGGCTTGGTACCGGCCAAATAGCCAAGCTAGCGCACCATCCTACTCTCCAAGCAAGCAAGACAGAAAACGTGTGGATCCGGTGTACAAGGCAAGCTGCTGGAGCGTCTCCACGGACTTGACGCGCGTTGCTAACTGCATGTCTACAGTTTTACATTGAGCGCGTACCCAATACCAAATGCCAGTACCTCATACGTACTGCCGCTCAAGAAAGAACCCATGCATACTTCCTTGGTGTTGAGAACGGCTCCCGAGGCGCCAGTAACGCCAACGCGAGGTGGTCGTTAGGAGCCCAGTCGGCGACGCCCATATATATCATCCCATGGGGTAGGCGATACAGGTCAGTCTCCAATGACAGTGCTTAATACGCTTCTAATTATGTTGAGACAGGATTGCCATTGATCGGCCGGGCGGCGATGGACAGTACGCGATGCTCGGAGTGAGCGGGCAGCCGAAGGGCAACCTCGGGTGGGATACAAAGGACACGGCAACGTCTTGGATCATCGAAGTGGCGAAGTAGGGACGTGAAGTATAGACTTCCGTGGCTTCTGTGTCGCTCAACTGTCAATATCATCTCTCCTCATTCGATCTTGGGGACGAGTTCTCAATGCCATCCCTGTATCTATCATGCTATCCTACACACAAGCTTCTCGCGACCATATGCGCCCTCTTGCATGATCTTCATACCCTGCGCAACGCCTTCCAGTCCTCCCGGAAGTGAACGCAGTCGTTGCGTCTTGAAGTGTGGCGCGCCGACGTTAGCCTTCCACCCGTCGAGAATGCAGGGGAGAACCTGAGTGCAATACTCGTAGATGCGAGCTCTATCCTCCGGGATCGCTGGAAGGCGGATATCCCCTGCAGCTATAAGCTCGATACCGAGGACGGTTCCCATGATGATCAGCTCGACCTGAACGTCCTCGCGGCGTTTCTGCGTCGTTTCGGAGACGGGAAGCACGATCATGACCTTTCCTCCGCGCGTCGGCGAAATAGAGTCCTGCTTGTAATGAGCGCTAGCCACATGCATTGCACATACTGGGGTGAAAGACGCACAATGACCATGTCCGTGGTGCCTTTCTCAGATACAGCGTCAAGTGCATAGATGATTCCCTTCTCGCCCGCCGCCTCCCTGATCTTCGAAGCCACGTCCGGATCCTTGTAGTCAAAGACGCGGGATGCACCGAGCGCTTTCACCTCTTCGTGCGCTGAAGGCGATGCCGTCGCGAAGACCTTGAGACCTGATAGTGCTGCAAGCTGAACGGCGTGATGTCCAACAGCCGTGCTAGCGCCCCAAATCAGGATCTTCTCGCTCGTCTTCTTGGACTCAGTAGCGTCTGAGCTCAATGGCCATGGGAAGCCTAGTCGCATGTGAAGGGCCTGCACGGCGGTGTAGTGTGGAACTGGGAAAGAGGCGCCCTCTTCGTACGTCATTTCTGGGGGTAACACGAAGGCTGGTGCCGCGAGGAAGCGACCGTACTCGGCAAACGCGCCATTGTCTTTCTGCCGGTATCCTCCATCACTGAGGATTGTGTCAGTAGTGCCCATGAGTCTGAACGCCGGTAGGCTCACTTGTATACGGCTACACGGTCGCCGACCTTGATATGGGTGACTGCTGAACCCACGGTGACAACGTCTCCAGTGGCATCAGAGCCCGCGATGGCTCCAGGCGAGCCCCATTCCGTGAATGCGTGTTTCCAGTCGGTAGGGTTAAGTCCAACTGCGCGAATGCGGACCTGTAGATGGGCGTATCAGTCAGCGCTGTCGGCGTAGAAGACGCAACGACTCACCAAGACCTCGTCTTCTGGCAGGCTCTTCACCTTGTCCTGAGTAGCGAAGGGAAGGTCAGCAACCGTAACCGTCCTATTTGCTTGCAGCTGAAGAGCTTTGATAGTAGCAGGGAGGGATGTCATGGTGCCGAGCACGAATGATTGATGGCTGTGGATGGGCGCGATCTATGCCTAGCCAGACAGCGTGAAAGCCGAGGTTAGTACTATATAGCATCGGTCTTAGGGGAGCACGGGGATCAACTATGTAGGACTTAGGATTTAGGCATCTTGCACAGAAGCTTGAAGCGGGTATACTGCATCGGTGAAGATGCAAGCGGGCGTTGCGACATATTAGCATCGGACATGATGAGTAAGGATGAAGATAAAGTCCGATGAGGATTGCCGTTTTGCATAGAGCCTGCCATAGCAAGTCTAGGATAAGTAGTGTATGAGTAGACTCCGAAGGTTCTAGCTCTGGGGACGGCGCTTCAGCGCTTCAGAGCGCTTCAGCTCCAATGCCTGAGTGCGCGACTGTGTGCGCGCACGGTCGTTCGGTGAAAGACCACAGCCGTTGAGGATGTAAGGTACAGCCCAATGAGAGCTTGCTACATTCATAGCCATATGTCTGCAAACGCGCGAGGTCTTTGCGATAGATCGTGGTGGTCCATAGGCAAGGGGACTGTCGGTTAAATGAGGGCAGATGCCATCAACTCATTTAGAGTTCGGCTCTAGGCCCTGGTAACTCCGCGCCGGCGGCAACGCATAACGCCGCTCCGCATCCTTACCACCCCACTCATCCAACACTCATCATCGCGTTCCCCGGATTCACTGCAACCTGAAGTTCCCTGTATTCCTGGCGACACGTACTACTCCGAAATGATCGCTATGAATACAAGGAGTTCCGATGCTTGCCAGAACTGTCGACCTGAAGTACGCTACCGAAAGACTGGCCATCAATACAGTAATGCGGATGGCATGACTTCGCTCAGCTCTGACGTCGTACTCTTCCGAGACACTGCGACTTTGGGGCCGCCGGGCTTGGCACCCAAACCATATAGCTATAAGGATACATGACCTTGCACACGACCACCTCATCCTACCATACCACCAACCGTCATGACCAACGCCACAGTGCCCGCTGCCGCCGCTTCGGTTCAATCATCTTCGGCTCAGACTCCTGCGGTTGCCGCGCCGTCTCCACTTGGGAGGTCACAGTCTCACCACGAGCGAGAGCGCGACGTGACAAGACAAGGCTTTGAGAATCAGGAGGAGCGCGGAGGCGGGGAGGCGGACTTGCATTATGTCGACCATGCCTATATGCACAAGGTACGCCGTCTGCATTCAGGCGATGCGATCTCGCTAATTATACCTCATAGATGGCCTCGGAACACCCTGACGCGCAGAACGAACCCTCGACTAGCGATGTCTCGAGTCGTGCGCGTAACTACAAACACAGCACGTAGAGCTTGTCTTGCTTTGTCGAAGTCAAACTCCGGCGCCAATTGATATTCTTCAAACCAATTCATGATGTGATGTATTATATACCGCCTGCGTTCTCCCTGATGTATATGTTTTGCTCAAGTGAACGTGTGACACGAAGACATGCAATGGCGGAAACACTTGTCGCAATCGCTACCCTAGCTAGGTAGCAGAGTGAGAATTTTCCTTTGCTGGCCCCAATCTAGCCGCTTCCCGAGCCATCGTCGCCCCTGTACATCCCAACTTTCGTCTTTAGAAGTAAGAGAAGCAGACGTTGTCGAACCCTGCGCAGACTCCACATCTGTCGGGGTCAAGGTGACCGTCTGCAAAGTCACCTCTGGCTCATGACCAGTAAGACGCGCGCGATCCAGGGCAACGAGAATGATAACAGTGCTGGGATACATCGCCTGCTCATAGTCAGTGACGAGCAAGGGAATCTGGTAGATATACTCTACTCACCGTGATTTGAACCATGGCGGCATTGAATGCGTCCGCGACCGGTGCGTTGACGTCGGCGAAGTCGAAGAGCACGACGTGCGCAGGCACAATGCTCACAACCAAGAACGCGATCCAGATAGAAAGGTAGACTGCGCCGCTCTCAATGAGAAGCGCGAGTGCTTGCTCCATGCGAGTTCTTCGTGTGCCTGCGCAGAAATCCTTGGTCAACTGATGACGATGATACCTGGTTGATTGCTATCGTCAATACGGCGACATCCTCTCATGATGCGCTCAACGGCTCACCAGGCCTTCAGTCCGATGGCGACGGTCGCGAACGCATTGCTGGCGACAGAAGAGCAAAGTGTTGATACCCCAAGCCAGTTGTTCTCGAAAGTCGGCTCGACGACGATGTCTTTGCTTTCAAGGACTTGCAAGGGCGCACCGGGCATGGGCCACGGCGTGCCTCCCTCGCGTACCCAGCGTGAGATCTCGACAATGTTGGCAATCGAAAGTGCTGGCGAGACCGTGAGCCATGGGCGATGTCTGAATGCGGGCACACTCACAGAACGTTGAGAGGATGAAGAACCCAGCGGCCACGTATGACCAAAGGCGGCGCTCCCAGATTAGGCACATGCGCCAAAGAATGATACCATCGCACAAGATTGTCTGTGGGGTCAAGCTCAAGATCCTACATTATGCCCAAACGTTGGTGCACTCACATTGAAGGAGAGTAGGATGATGGGCGCATAGGTTCTAAAGTTGTCGCTCGCAATGGGTGGGGCAGTACGTCGTGCATATATGCCTATGTTGGCGGCCCAGTGGATGAGTGCACAGAGGTAAACCAGTATGATGGCTACGTGAGGGAGTCTCGGACGAGTTTGGCGTCTTGACGGACATGGTGCATCAGCATGGTCGAATACATGTTCACAAATTGAGCACGTACGCGACAAAAAGCAAACAAGCGAAGGCAAACACTGCAGTTGATACGCCAAAGAGGGCAGTTTCCGTGATGACCACGGGAAGAAGAACGGCCGCTGACAAGTACGTGTCAGGGATGGGTCTGTTGAGCTTACAAGACTCGGCTCACAAATAGCGGTGTTATTGCGTCCCAGGTCCTCTGTATTGAAGAGCGCTCTGACGAATACGACGTCAGTCGTGTGCGCGCACATCACGAACTCCTCCTTACCGCCCATCGAATAGATCAATCGTATTCCAGAACGATAGAACTCCGTGAACTAATAGCGAGAGGTAGGTGAGGGGAGGCACAACCAGTATCAAGCGAGGCCAGGCACTGGTTCTCCGCCATTCGCTCGCCCTGGGCTTGCGTCAGTCGATATGAACAATAACCCCATGTACTCGCGTGAAATCACTCACCAAAGCCAGTAGGTTCCCACAACAGCAAACACTGATGCCGCGCCTTGAGAAGGTCTGAGTCAGATCCAACTACGAAATGGCTGCGAAGGTAGATGGACGCACCGACAAAGAAGCACTCGAGAAGAAAGACTGGGACGATCCTGCGCTCTACGAAGTCTATAGTCGTCGCGTAATTCGTGATGTTGGTCATAATAGATAAAGTGGGGTCATAAGAAGAAGGATGATCTTCAGCCGTGCGCGACATCCGGCGTCTTATACTTGGGCCACTCCCAGGATCACCAGCGCATCAGCAGTCCGCGATGCACGGCCACACCACACCAGAACATCATGACACCAAGTCGTCTTGGAGCGCCGCCGACCAGTGAGCTTCACACGATGCCTGTATAAGCCTGCATTCACTATCTTCAGAGCGCAGCATCTCGCAGGGTCGGCACATAGGAGGACGGAGCGAATGACCAATCGTCGCAATGATGGTCAGAACGAAACAGTACCGGATTGTATCAGGACCTCGACGCCACTGATAACGCGGAAGTAAAGCGTGGTCCTCCCCGGCGGTTGAGCATGACGAGCGCACAGTGACACGTAGGGTACAGAGAGTATGAGCCCGTGCTAAGGCCAATCGGGTGAACATAGCGCCTGATGTATCGTAGCCTCAGGACTGTCTTGCGTCAATGTGACGTAGAATTGCCTAGTGTGCACCAAGATGATAGAGAGAGTGAAGTACGAGACTACTCGCGTCTCAAACCCAACGAGACTGCGCCAACTCGGCCCGATTCGCCCGATTCGCCCTCACGGCCTCCTTCCCCAAGCGCACTTGTTGTCTCTTGCTTCCTGGTAGCCTTCATCCTCCTCCCCAGCACCAGTCCCCTTCCTACCGCAGAAGCTATCTCTCCCCTCGATGTGCAACCGAGATCCTTGACGACTGTCTAGAGGGATGTTGGCATTTGCAGGCTGTGGTACGACTCGGATGGCGAGTATAGAATACTACAGTCTACCTAGCATGGGGCTTGTAGGCTGCCTCCGAGTCTACATGTGATGGTTCCAACGCCTTTCCCCCACGGGGAGTGGAAACTGTCCGTGAAACGTGCGGGATAGCATCGTACTCCCGAGCTGTAAGGCGCGTGACTGTCTCTTCTACGTCCTTCCGGTCACTGATAGATAGTACCACAGATACTCTAAGTATTGAGACATAAAGCAATCTACCGTGCCTGGCAAAGGGAAATTGTGTTACTGGGTTATGGATTATCTACCGTGTCAATGATCATACTAATTGTGAATCCGATTCAACTGTGTCATACCCCCTCGGGTGTACATCGACTGTCACAAGCGTTGCAGGTGTGTAGAAACGCGGAGTATTCTACTGCTCATAACTCGGCGGCGGTTCCATCGGTTGCCGTCCGCGCGATAGAAGGTTGTTTAGGCGGCGAACCAAGGTCGGCAGTTCAGCCATCTCATCGTCTGCTCCTAGCGCTTGTGTGGCTAAAGCCCTCTCGTCCCCGATTGATGCATGCTGTGACATGCTCTGAGAAGTTGGCAGCATCTCCAAGGCGCGTTCTTCTGAGGACTTTGTAGTCTGCCTGTAGGTAGGATGTGACAAGAATGGGTTAACATTCTCAGTCGAGTTGGTATCGCCTTCAGCGGAAGTGTGTTTTAGCTGACGATGGCGCCGGAAGACCAGAGCTGCGAGGAGTGCGATGATTGCTGCACAGACACCACCAATTACGGCGCCGATCACCGTACGTATCTTGGCGGACTTGTTGGTGGGCCGGTGTCTTGACCTGCTCCTACCTCAGCTGACGTCAAAGGTGAATGGCATTATCATGGTACGGACGTAGTAGGTGCCAAGGCATAACCAGCGTTGAGGGCGTCCACGGCGGCGATACTACCTCGAACGTCGAAGGAACTATGCAGGATGTTCTCAATCATTACAATCATGGTCATCATGCATGGAACCACTGACGAAGCTCCAGGGTTGACCCATGTTTGTGAGTAAAAACTAGCATTAGGTCCTAGTAGCTGCCGGTGGCTCAGAGCGTTGAACTGTACGCGAGTGAGTGATTTGAGTGTGGAACAGGTCAGAGGAATCTACCTGGACTGTAAGATAAGCCTCGATATAACGGGAAAGCTCTGTGCCAGGAGTGCGCATGTAGACTTCGGTGAGACTTCGGACGAGAAGGCCTGGGTTGTCCTGATACATGGCGTCTGAGATCAGGCAGCGATGTCTTCAGTAAGGATGACGGTGCTGATCTGCATGGGTAATCACCTGAATCAAGGTTGGCTGGGTTCAAAACACCGCCAGGCGACGAAGTCCAACCAGGGAATGTAGTCACATTCGCAATAACATCCCCAAGGCTACATCACGGTGTGAGAGTAAGATCACGTGGATCGAACGTGCCATTCAATTCGGAGGACATACAACGATACGAGTGTGTCGTTCTTCGTAACATTAGCCCACACTGATAGTCCTAGTTGGCCATAGGGAGTGTTAATGACATCGCGGTGAAAGTCAAAAAGGAGTCGATACCTTCTATAAACCACGCCTGGTTCAACACTAACGGCTTAAACGACGTGTTGCAAGTCGTTGGGTAAAACTTGTCTGCGACAACTGATCCATTCCACATGAATGTGGTGAGGAAATCGACAGACAGCTGGGCCGCTTGTTGATAGTGAGTATCATTAGTCTCTTCGAACAGATACGCAGATAATCTGAAGTCAGGTCAGTCTACCGGCGCCAGCATGACTGGCGATGCCACTAACGTCATAAATGGACCAGTACTCCAGATGCTTATTTCGGTATCGTTCGGGATCCCAGCGTACTGGAGCAGTGTCAGTGCGCTGAGCTCGATGGCATATGCTTCCACATACGGAGAAAACCCCGCCAGCAGAAGACCCTATCGACAAATCAAGCATCCGCGCGTATCTTATAGGCGGTTGTATGACGCACTGCCTTTCCCGCAACCTGGAGTGGAAGGGGCGAAAGATACATTTCGTGTTGCACCACTGCCCTGAGTCGCAATGTCCGGTGTTATGAACCCTTGATACGTGACATTGTATGCTTCCTTCGCCAAGTCCAGAAGCGTCCCTTCCCGGTAACTTCTGTAAGAGTAAAACGCCACAAGACCCCAGTATATGACGTCGGCATAGACATGGGACTCCGTGAGTCCGGGGCCGTAGAGACCATTGTTCTGGATGTAGAGCTTCAGGGTGTCGACCCCTTCGGTGTGCCAAGAAGTGTTGTCAGCGCTATAGTAGTCTTGCAGTGCGAGTACGGCAAAGAAACCAGCGAGCTCTTGGATGTCCGATTTAAACTCTGTCCGAACGTTTGAAAGATAGACAGTCAGCGGGAGCGGGATGCACATTAAGTGTTATGCTGACCGGTTGTCGTTCCCGACAAAGGATTGACGTTTTGAGCTAGAGTCGCGGCTGCATCATATACGAGTTCGCCACGAGTATCACGGCTCATATTTGATGTTTTCTGAGAAGATGCGTTAGTCGAGTGTGGCAAAAAATAAACAACGCACGCGATTCACCTGCCAGGCATCTGGAATAGAGAGATTGTCCGTTGCCTTCACACTCGAGAGATAGTACGCAGATAGAGTGGACAGGTGGAGTACAACGGGTATAGTGAGAAGCATAGCGGGGAAGACTCTCTAAAAAAGCGGTATGCAATGGTAGAGCACGATGGAACGGCGAGACTGGCAGACTATGGGGTCATGATGGCTGAGCTCCCTGGTATTTAAGAGCAGACTGAGGGCTGTTCCCAACTGTTAGATTGTGACGAGAAGATGCGGAAGAAGATTCACCGGACTCTGGAACGTAAGTCGAATGCTTAGTGCGTAAAGACGAGGGAATGGATGTGAACATACTCCTGGAGTGATGAGTTGCAAAGTAGAGTATCTTCCACGTTGGGCGCCGCTTCCTTATGAGGTCGGTATGAACCCGATTACAACAAGTAATCTTACGCCCAAAGGTGCAATACATGGTGCTCGCGATACCTCAAAGAACTCGCCAAGAACTTGCACGCGGACAGCAATGGCTTACGCCGGGTCCCTTGGCGTGTGTCTCGGTCAGTGGATGTGGATCGTGTCCTTGACAGGCTGTAACGATACGGGCGGCTAGAGCTCCGTTCGGGGATATGGTATGCATAGAAAGGTGAAGCTTTGAAGTTCGTAGGGAGGTATCCAAACGTGTCCAAGCAGCTCCAGATAACGATGGACAGCGGGCCGTGATCAATGTTGGCCACGGAAGAGCGCGATGGCGCGTTATGTACGGCGGTGCAAGAGCCAGGGCGGACAGTCAGCGTTGACCCTCCATTAGCCGATGGATGTGAGCCATGACGATAGTACTAGTGCTTCCGTACGCGCTGAGCGGTGGCCCGTGGTGAAGGCAGAAGGCAAGCCTCGTTGCGGGAAGTCCACGCGGATCACAGCGGATCGCTACCGCTCGAGGCTTCATTCCCGTGCTCGAGCTCTTGTCGTATCCGTCCTTTGAACTCCTTTTTGCTGTCATAGTACCCGTGCTCGCCGCGCTATTGACCCCCTATATGACAGTCCAGACCCGGAACTCCACGGTCGAGTGCTTATGCACATGCAAAGACCTTAAGGGTGGAGGACAAGTGAGCTCCTGCCCACGCTTCCCCGGAATCTCCCCTGATCTCACACCCTTACTACGTACTTGATACCAATACCCCGACTCGGGCCCCCTAAGGTTTCTACCCATTCCCGGCTATCGGTCCAGTCTACATATTAGTACTTTGCGTTTCATAGCGCCGCTGGCCATTCGGGCGGCGCTCTGTAAATGTAAGTAAGAAAAACAAGCCTGGGGCTCCGGCCAGGCCATCGGTTGTGAGCAGAATCTTCGCCCCAACGCCCCCATATTTTGAGTCCTTACACGGATCAGTCGTCCCTCAAGTCCAACGACAAGAACCGAGTCAAGATACACTATATATCATGTAAGACACTCGATACGATCTCCGAACCAGTTCCGCAATCATGTAACAAACTCAAGCCGAAACCGAACATATTCACAAGCGAAGTGTGGAGCGAACAACGAAAGAACGAGACATATAGACAGGGTGATAAGGAACGAGGTGGGTGGGGAATTTGAATAAGAATACTCAGTACAGCCGAGAGTGGGACTAGAGGGAGTGTGCAAGGAGCCAGAGACTCGGGAGATAGGACAGGACAGAGACGAGGAGACAGGTGAGATGAGAGGGAGATACACGAGACATAACACGGTGGCACAGCTGGGCGAGGAAGGAGAGGGTATAGGGTCGTCGTGAGATGTCGCGTGAGTTCATGTGAGGGTCGAGTGATGTATCAGAGAGGAGGGATGGGGAGTGCAGAGAAGTATGAGGGACGGAGGGGTGATGCGCTTATCGCTTGGCGAAGACCTTCTTGAGCAGCGCGAGCACCTTCGGCACGTTCAGTTGCACGTACTCGAGGTCGAGAAGGTGCTTGTTGTCCTTCTGCTTCTCGAGCAGGTCGTCGATCTTCAAGTCCATCTCGAGAATGGCCTTCTCCCTGCCCTTGTAGTGCAGCGCGATGATGAACGTGCCCGGTGTCGGACTCGTGATGTTGAAGTAGATATTCGGCCGCCTGTAACCGATAGTCAGCACCCAGATAAATCTCGACTGAAACCAAGAACGCACCGATTATCCGGGACATTACTCTCCACGATAATGCCCTCCTTCTCCAACTGCGCATGTGTGAACCGATACGGCCCAAGCACAGCAGCCTTGGTCGGCTTCTTCTCCTTCCCTCCAACGCTCACGACGCCCACAGCAGTCCCTACACCGCCCTTCCCACCCTCCTTGGTACTCGTCAACCGCACGTTCTGCAGATACGCCTTGTACTGCTCGAGCTGTCCGCGCATGTAGTTGTTGTGGTCGCAGATCGTCTTGTACACTGAATCGAGACTCCTCGTCTCAGCGACGACCTTCTCTCTCAGACTGCCCAGGTGCGCGAGTTCCGCGGCGACTTCGTCCTGTAGCAATGCGTAGGAGTCCGTCATACCGTCCGCACTCGTGACGTCCCTTAGCTCTCTCAACATCTCCTTCACCTTGATCCCCTTCCGGACCAATTGCGCGTCCTTCGTCGTGGCCGCCTTCTCCGCGATCATGAACAAGTCGTGTGGAGCGCGGCCAGCGGAGGCAGGCATGGAACGGATGAGTTGCACCAGGATGGACTTCGTCTCCATGTAGAGCATGTCGGCGGAAGAGACGGTGTCGGCGAAGGCGGCTTGAATGTCCTGCACGGGTGTCTCCCAGCGCGAGTAGAGCTTGAGCTCGAGTGTTCTGTTCTCCTTGCGCGGAACTTGCTGTGGTGCGGGGCCGAGCTCGTCCATGAGGATGCGGAGGTGCTGCTTGTCATTAGGGCTAAGCGTGTCGATGTGCTGTAACAGGAGGGAATGGGTGTTGTACAGCTCGTTGAGCGTAATGTGAATCATGAGGTCCTTCTTCGATAGCGCCATGTATTGGTCCATCTGTACCATTTGCGTGAGCCATCATCGCTCGTGAGTGTAAGGAAGATGGCATACCTCGAGTGTCTCGTAGAAGTCACCGACCTCGCAGAGTTGGTTCAAGAATGCATTGATGCGCGCCTTGTTGTTCTCCACGAACGGGTTGAGGGTGCTCATGTAGGCCTCCTTGGCGTATGAGGGTTTGTTCGCCAAGTTCTGCAGCATCTTCGCGATCTGTGGCGAAGTCAGTAATTGAGAGCGATTATGGATGAAACACTTCTACGCACAAGGGTGAGTGTCCTGCGCGGGTGCTTGGCAGGTACGCCGTCGACAAGCATGTACGCTTGAGGAGTGACGATAGCCGGGTTGATGAAGCGCAAGAAAAAGAAGCCGCCGATGAGTGAACAAATAGCGTAGTCGGTCGCCTCCGGATATTTGCGCTAAGTCCGAACGTCAATAAGCGCCTGTCAAGCCGAGGAATGGAAGCTCCAACGCACCCTGGTCAAGCTACGAATCTGCTTGCAAATCCACCGAATACCGTACGGCACACTGTCCATACTGTCGATAATCGTCACAAGGAAGCTATTGGCGATCTCCATGAGCATCGTCAACCTGGGCGCGATAATCGCCTGTACGTCCGCATTGGCGCTCGCGACGTCCGGTGGAACACCGCGGGGAAGGTTCTCAGGCAAGGCGCCGGTCTCCTCCTCGATTTGGTTGATCATCTGCTCGTACACTTTGACGGGGTTGATCTCGAGATTCAAATCCTTATGCTCGATTAGGGAGTTGATGCGCTCGGAGAGGACGGATTTGAGGTAGGACTGTCCGGGCCCGCGACGGGTGTAGGTCGTCATCATCCGGCTCACGGGTGTGTTGGCGCGCAACAAGGATCCGAATTCGGTGGCCGAGTCGAATTGGGCGCTTAGGACGGACTGGAACATCGTGAGCAGGAGATGCTCTTCCCGGCTCTCGTATTGGTTTCCGTAGAGCGTGAACATGACCGTCTGCAACAAGGTGTCGATCTCGCTCAACGATACGAGTCGGCAGAGTGCAGCCACGTGCCGAGGTTCGGACTGGAGGAGGAAGAAGAGGTTTGAATACTGGGCCAGGCGGCGGTCGTCCGGGAAGACACCCTCGTTCGGGTCGACGTCCTCGAGATGCTTCTCCACCTCCCGCTGCTCGTCCGCCGCCATCCGGTTCTGAATCAGCAGTGCGATCCGGCTGTCCAGGTATCGCACGTCCCGCTCGAGCACAAAGTTCTTCTTGCTCTGAGCGCTGATCCGCGCTTTGAGATCACGCAGCCTCTTCTGCGCTATTATCTTATGAGTTTCACATCAATTATTATGAATGACGACAATACACACCCCGCGCCAGGTCGTCCTCCACCTCGACGTCCTGCTCGGCGGCCATGGAGAAGAGCGCGGTGACGCTGTACCGGTTCGTGTTCCGGTTCGTCAGCCTGCGCGAGCTCATCGGCGACGTCGCGCCATAGTCCGTAAACGCCGACATCGCTCGTAAACGGTCGTCAAATATTCCGGTTGTATATCAAGGGCGAGTCCAGCGCCTGTGGTGGGGGAGGGGAGGGGAGATGGGGAGGAGGGTGAAGGTATCCAAGAAGCACAGAGACAACAAGAGCGCAGGAAGGAAGCCGTAGTCCGGATGAACTTCGCGTGTTGCCACCCATCTTTCCACCCTCACCACGCTCAAACGGATGACCCCAATACCAGTACTGCTGTGCTAGCCCTACGTAGGGCGTGGCCTACATCTCTTTCATAGAACTTCTAGAACATCAACGTCAGGCGCGCCCCGCCGCGTTGCTCGCAAACAATGGCCAATATATCTAATCTGGGATTTGACGTGTGAGCTCGCTGCTGCCACGCACGACTCGCCCACCGGCATGTAGACTTCGAATCTCCGTCTCGTGGACGCCTCCATATAACTTCTCAGCTCGCGTGCACGAACCTCGTTCTTGCTTTCTGGGTCCTGCGCGTGGCCGACGGCAGTGCTTCTGGCACCTATGTGGACCCATGTCAACCGTCTCACGCGATCCCTTCCGGCCTCTATTCTCTACAATATACGATCGAGACTTCACCGCTACTTGATCACAGATGTCAGTGATGGTGAGGCTATCGATCTCTTCGCGATTCTTCAACCTGATTTTTATGGCAGTTGTTCTTGTAGGACGCAAGTGCATAGGTTCGTACGGCCCACCCAGGTTCGTACGCCCCACCCAGAATGTACTTGGGTCCCCGGCAACTCGCGTAAGGTCCAGCCCCCGGCGCTCCGTTGCATGTATGTGCGCTCGTCCCAGCGTGATGGCCTATCAAGTTCTGGGCCACCTGCACGACCCATGCGAGCGACTGTCACGGATCAGGGATGCTCTTAGGGTCTGCCGTGGACAGTGCTACAGTAAATAGGGCGCCCCGCCCGCATGTATTTGGCTTTTCTTCGTGTGGATACGATACATGAGCGAATGCTATTCATCATTTATTTGACGTCTACCTCTATCTACCGGTTCATGGATCCTCGTTCGTATTCATATCACAACTTGGTTTCGTCTCCGACGACTAACAAGCTTTGAACGCACAGTCACGACCATCGTACCCACGGTACACAGACAAACGAACATCGTGGCCATGTTCTTCTGCGTAGCCGCGACAACGCAAACCGTGCCGATGACCGAACATAACAGGCTTAGCAGCACAAAACACTCCCCTCCGTGGTTGTGGACTAATGCTGCCAACGTGAAAAGGCTGCCAACCGCCCCGCACACCGTGGACGTCAGAAGAGCGCTCGACATTGGCGCGCTACTCGCCAGGGCCAAGGCTGCCGCTCCCACGGCCAGGCACATCGCACCGGAGAAGGCAATCTATTGGCGCTTAACGGCCTGTAAAATGTGGTATCCACATAAAAGACTTACTAGCGCGGAGCTGAAGGAAGGGCCGCGTGATGACGAGGGTTCATCATCTCGTGCGGTCACGGGCGTCGCCAGAGTTGGGAGGATGGGTAGTTGCGGACGTGTCTGACTGCGAGACGATGGTTCTGTCGCTCATCATTGTACGTGGCTTCCCAGAAATATTTGCTGGGAGGGCATACCGCAATGCTCGATATGTGGTTTCAGCGATGTGTCCTCCGGTCGAGGATAGACTCGTGAACGACGTTTGGCAACAGGCGGGGGTGTACGAAGTGCACATCGGTTCGGCACGGCACACGCTGAAGGCGAAGACATTTATCACACGGTAGGATGCAGGAGGAGCCTCAGGTTATGTGTGGTGTATGTGGGGGCAGGGTAGGTCGCAGTAGTAGCGATCCGGTGGAAAGAAGCACGCCTCGGAGGGGACTTTATACTATGTATGCCTTGCGTTCGGAGCGCCCGAACGGAACACCAAGGCAATGCCGCGTCGGCCCCTGGCATCTGTGCGACCAGGTAGCGTGTCCGGCTACTCGTGCTCGTTTGAGGGTCTCCGAAGATGGTACACAGGTCCCCGGCACGCTGTCATGTAGGTCTCCGAAGGCAGTCATGCAGGTCTCCGGCCGTCAATCGAGAACGTTATCAGGCACAATAGCCGCTAGCCGAGTCCATATCTATTGAGAGCCCCGATGAGCTTGAGAAGGCGACCGCGAGCTTTCGAACCCTGGCCTAGTTATGGGCGCACTTGGTCGCCAGGTATCTGTCCAAACAATAGGTACCAGTGAGTACTCATGGACGTTTAGCGTAGTCGAGTTCTTTCCTCACTCGTAGTAGCACACTTAGCGCCGGTTGCTTGCGTGCACTGTATAGCGTTCACACCTCGCTGCGCCCGACCAAAGGTTCTTGGACCACGAAGTCTATCGACAGGTCTGTGAGGTCTCCGGTGATCCTTTCAGCTCCGGACAGCCTTCTATCAGTCTTTCCCGCGTGCTCCGAAGCATGGAGGTGCAGGCGCGGGCATACCATAAACACGGATGCTGCATGTGTCGTGGCCGTCTCTTACAGTTGATCTCTGCTACAAGATCAACTTCCATACTACCCACCCAAAGGCCATACGGAGGCGAATCGACACCACTCCCATGTTTTATCAGAGCAAATGAAGGCAACACGGGCATACCGGACATCATCGTTCAGGCGCGCGGAGTGCGACCGTGAGGTAAATCACGAATTGGGTGGACAACTTTCCCAGTTGCGCGCAGATTTCCGCCTTCTGGCACAGCAAACAAGGAGGCCCTTATTCGCATCCCTCGGAGTCGGACATGATGCACGAGCTGAGCGGATCAGCATCGCGAGCGCTCCGAAGGCGTTGAGCTGAGGAGAGGTAATGACACATCTTGGTCATTGGACGGGACCCTCGACTCGGATTGGGCGAATATTCGCACAAAACTTCGGCACTGGCGGTTTCCCGTAGAGATTGAGGTTAGGAGAAGTAAAGCCGCATAGCATACGAGGACGGAGGCAAGGGTATTTTGAGATGATGGTGGTGACATCAAGCTTGGGCGCTTTGGGTCTTGTTGTAGAAAAATTTGAATTGCTGTAGCACTCAGCATCCGGCGAAGAATCGTTGCTTATGTCCCGAGACATACCTCCGCTTGTCGCTGTGATGCGAGTGCTTGAGAGGATAGACTCGGGGTAACTGAATAGGCCGCGCACAGCGCTTGACTTAAGTAGTACCACCGTGACGAGTTGTTCGATGAGATCATTCACTATCCGAGGCCATGTACGAAAGCGCGAGGTACTTCGACGATTCCCATATTCGACACATCAAGGGCCTTGCGGCGAAAGAAGGGTGTGCATCCTGAACATGGTGTTCAAGAAACAGACGATGAGGGTCAGAGGGAGCTGGCCCGGGCGTGTATCATCACCTCGGACCGGAGCCGCCGGTCCCCTGTGCAGTTCCTCTGCACACTTTATCCCAGACCATCACCAGCCCGGTCACCATCTCCTTTGCGTCAACTCTGCCACTATGGCTTGGGAGCTCCTAGAAGTCTGCATATCATTTCTTAATTTAGTTGGAATCCGGCCTCGCTGAAGAGCCCTAATCAGGTCAGCGAACCCGGCTACGCCTATATCATCCTTGGCGGGTTCGTTGTCGCGGTACGTGGCCTGGTCTGTCCTCCTGTCACGAAGCAAATCTGATATACGTTTTAGTTCAGTGTGGTGTCGCTCCTGGTAAAGGAAAAGGTACGGCTTCCTCGTTGTCTGGCTGTATTCGTGTGCTGACTGGACATGGCAAGCTATACATCAATGAAGTCGTCCTCGGGACGGGTTTCGGCGTGCTTATGGGGCCACACTGCGCGAAAATATTCGACCCTCGCGGATGGACTTCCGATACCAACGCACTTACTCTCGAAGTCATGCGTGTAGTACTCGCCACCGGTCTCTTCGCCATCGGGGTCGAGCTTCCCGGCGCTTACATGGCAAGGTCCGCCAAGAGCCTCATGGTGATGGTCGTTCCTACTATGGCCGTTGGATGGGTTATATCCGCCTGTGAGTACTATCATAATAGTCTACTATTTTTGAGATCCTGACCAGGGCGTAGCGTTTATATACGTCATATTCCCTCGTCTAAACTTCGTTGCCGGTCTCCTGATCTCCGCGTGCCTCACGCCGACCGACCCTATCATCAGTGCAGCCATAGTTGGTGCGTTGTCCTCTTCCCTGAAATTGCCTCAAGGGTCGAACTGATGTGTGGCGAAAGGCGGCAAATTTGCGGTCAAGCATGTGCCTCTCAACCTTCGTCGATTGATCGCCGCGGAGTCGGCATCCAACGATGGGATGGCATATCCCTTCTTGACAATCGCCATCTACGTCTTGACTGAGGCGAACGCCGGCGTCGCCATCGAGAAGTGGATTGTACTAGGATGGTTATGTAAGCGTGTTCAATTGGAAATCTCGTGCGATAACCGCTGACATTCCTGGACAGACCAAGTTGTCTTGGGTACCCTCCTCGGCGCCGTCCTCGGCTGGCTCTTCGCCCGTGTCATGAAATACACACATCGCCAAGGCTTCATCGACCGCGAGTCATATGTCGCACAGTACCTCGCCCTCACCGTCTTGACCATTGGCATCGCCTCAACTCTCGGCGTCGACGACCTGCTAGCTGCGTTTGCAGCTGGGAGCGCTATCAGCTGGGACGAACACTTCAATGTTCAAATCGAGAACGAGGTCTTCTCGAGCGTCATCGACCTAGTGCTGAACTGCGCGTGCTTCATCTACATCGGCGCGTGGCTGCCGTTCGACCAGTTCAACTCGCCTGAGCTTGGCGTAACGCCATGGAGGCTCGTCGTACTCTTCATCATCGTTCTGCTCCTGCGGAGGATCCCGGTTTTGCTATTGCTCTACCGCTGGATTCCCGAGATCCGATCCTGGCGTGAGGCGCTCTTCACCGGACACTTCGGACCTGTACGTGCTCCCATCCTCTGCCCTCGGCCACTGATGCTGACAATTCGGCTTCGCAGATGGGTGTCGGTGCTATCTTTGTTTCCACCCTCGCGATCATCAAATTGGAAGAATCTGCAGCTCGAACCGAGCAGACCGAGGTGCTCAAACAGACCATACATCCCATCGTCACATTCGTCGTCCTCTGCTCGATCATCGTTCACGGCCTGTCCATCCCCTTCTTCTCCTTTGGGAAGAACGTCCGCGTCCGCACTGTATCGCTATCGCGCACCCTCACCGCCAACCAAAACACGCCGCCGGATTGGCTCCTTTGGGCTCGCCGTCCAGGAACGACGTCATCGAGAGCGCCCACTCGCCCAGGTTCGCCCGACAATGATGCGGAGCGTGGCGTCCTGCGGCAGCGAGGCGAATCCGCACGACGTGGAGGCGATGGAGATGGCACTGGCGAAGACATCACAGTAGACGACGGCTTTGGGGCACGAGAGATGTCGCAAGAAAATCTGGCGAAGGAGCCGCACATGCCGCTTGGTGAGGCGGCCATGTTCGTCGAAGATGGACCAACCCAGACAGACACTGCTGCGGATCAAGAAGAGCAGGATATCAGCGAGGAGCCTGTCTCGCTCTATGATCAGAAGCAACCAGTCCACGACGAGGAGATGCGGGAGACGAGCATCCACGAGGAGCCCGAGCCCGAGCGTGAAGCACGTAACGTGCGCTTTGCGCCCGCATCTGAATAGGATATGCTGGTGCTCGGCACACGCTTTCTCCTATGCTGCTGCCGAGCCAGAACCTTCGTCTTGCAATTTCCTTGTCCTGCTCTCAACAGACCTTCTACCGTTTCTTCTCAGAGTTACCCTGCTACCGCATATCTAGACTATTTCTTGAATATAGACAGCCCTTCGAGGGCACGATTACCAACCTTCCCTGTTCAAGTAGTATTGATTCCACCTGGCTGGTCTTAGGGGGCTTCTGCGAGCGCTTGATGCCTCGTGTTGTAGGGTCGCGTTCATCCTGCGAATGCCTCTGCAAGCGCTCGTGCATGGGTATATATACTTCGTCCCCGAGCCAAGGCTTCATTGGAGACGCCCCTACTTGAGGTGAAGTATTCAGGAGTCCTGATACCTTATCTGGCGCGTCGCCGACGGCGCCGTGTACCTGCCCCCCTACGACCAACGTCGTAGGGGCGTAGGCTGGCCGGCAGCGAGCAATGAGCTTGCTGTGCGGACAGACCCGGCGTGCGTTGCATCGCAAGTATGTTGGCTCATCATACCCGTCTGTTCCCAAGCTCATCCTCTCACAGCTGATGTAGCGCGCCTCGTTATGCGGCGTTGGTATCCGAAGATGCCCGCGCTGCATCGGGTCGTCTACCCACTGCTCCCTCCGACATGCCGGTGTACGGTAAGCAGCCGCCTTGAGAGTCATCGTATGATCGTCTGATGCTAGCAACAATTGTAGTGTGACGCTATACGCAAGCATGTCCGATCTGACTTGATGTACATTCATTCAAGATACTAAATATATGTCTGCTACACATAAAGTTGAGGCCTTCGCCGGCCGAAAGACGTGTGCGAAGGAAGGCTCCATCAGAATAAGTCTCAGTACAAACGGTCTTTTGTGTGACCATTGCAAGAGCGCTGGGAGTGCAGTCGTGCAGATGCGGTAGCGAACATACGCAAGCCTGCCGAATGAACCAGGTGCAGGTTGCAGATGACTGCCGCACTCCCGCCACGACCACATATCGCCTGCTTATCTAGCCTATCTTCTTACCCTCCTGACCTCACCCTTGACCCTACGTGAGTGCGCTCGCTGCATCGTGGTGTAGGACTTCGTCGTGCGAGCGTCGCTTGACGCCCGTTCGAGGACCTATAAGAACGCTTCGCCCTTTGCTCAGACAATCCAATCATGTTCACCATCTCTCTTGGGGGAGGCACTCATCCGCTGTGGCAAGCCTGCCAGTCGTAGTGTACGCTCCTCTTCACTGACTGCCACAATTTCTGTCCTCACGTGCTCGCAGAGGCTGTTCATAGCGTCCTGTGGGGAGCCTCCCCCGCCCCTCTCCCTTCGACCTCTGCATAGCCTCAGAGTCGAAGTTCGCACTGTTGGTTCGTCAGCTCAGCATCCCCATACTCTCGCTTTGACTGATCGATACTAGTCAGTTATCTGCGCAGGCGACTGTATGCTTCATGCACGAACGACCCGTCGCTCTTTACCACACCTATCCGTTCATCTGTGTCCATGGCTTGAAATTCATGTGCAGGCTGCGGTCATATCAGTCTAGTCAGAACACCTGTACACCCATATGTTCTCTCAGTATCATGTAGCACAGCTTTGATACATGCGCGCGCGTCTAGGCGTAAAGCCATTGCGATTCGGCGACACTGGCTGCACACGAAGTGCACGACGGAGTGACTGAGAGATCAAGATAAAAAGATAAACCATTACCGTCGGACGTGCACGTCATACCCTGAGTCTCAGCTATTGGTAGAACCACGAGAAATATGGTGGGTAGTTGGTCTGTTGACTGTGAATGACCGGTGATCGTGGGAGGAGGCAACCTACATCGCATCAGGCGCGCGCGGTCATCGCGAATGTGGCGTCTCGTGGCTTGACCTGAACGTCCACCTTACCCTTCGGTTCATTCGACTATACACCTGTAGAGCGTCGCCATATTACTGTCTGACTTGCCTTATCTCCGATAATCGAGCATGAACTCCCCCATCCCGTCTGATTATCCGTCTGATAACGACTCGGAAGGCTGGGAAGGAGTCCGCTCTCTTTCGCCCTCCATTGCAGCTGCGACGGTTCACGATCTGACAACGTTCTCGCATACTCGCACGCAACAGACGGACGACCTGGGTCTCGCAAATACAAGTGCTTCCGAGCTTCTGCGCTCTCGTCAGCCCTGGTCGCCGTTCGATGGCGAGATGCAAGGAGCGTTTCGTACAGAACACGAGAGTCCACTCGGGAAAGCTCCCTCATCACCGACGTCTATCATAGTATCAGAGACTCCTCTGAGTCGGAGCGTACTTACGAGCTCGATTGCCTCTGCAGGTCATGTTTACCCGCGACACGGACTGGTACCCCCACAGGAGCGTCGTGTACAGATGCATACTGCACTTGCTACAAACCCGCTCTTGGCGGAACTACGCCAGAGCGCACCCTTCATGGATCGCGACGGGTCGCCTGTCTTCGTTGGTTCGGCCCTCATAGATGGTGCCGTGTACCCGTGCAAGGTCACGCTCTCAAGATCGGGCGAAGAAGGGGTAACGCCAGTGCGAGTGCCGCTCTCCGGCAAAGAAGTTGTTCATCACGGCGTCTATGAGATTCTGGTTATTGACGAGGAGACGATGGAATGGGTTGGCGCTAGGAACGGGCGATTGCCATTTGGACGCGCGCCAGTTGAGGGTGGATATGACGACGACATGAAGCGACTTTACTATGCAGCGACAACCATTCATGGCTGCCGAGTACCGGGAAAGACATGGGAAAATGAAGTAAGCATATTATCTCTGTATGGGGTGTAACCCTCTTAACCAAGTACGCTACGTCTAGGGTGCCAACTTTCCTTGGAATGGACAGGAACTCGTTATGCGCGACGGATATGATATACTGTACGTTTTCCAATGCCCTTACGTCATCATGCTTACCGCTGGGTAGGTGCTGGCGATCGCAATTCTATGTCCCTCGACGGAGTCGGGATCCACAGGAGACTGGTTTGGCACCGTTTTCGTCAAGGGATGGGAGACCTAGTTATGTCATCTCAGCCCCGTTGCGCGGAACCCGACAGCCAGCCAAAGCAACTTTGCACAACGACACCGCGCGGGTGCGCATATCCTATAGCGGCAAGGAAATCGACGTCGACTGGGCTTCCGCCGAACAACCAGTCGAGATCGTTCATGTCAATCCCGATACCATGGAGTGGGTCCCCAGCAATCATGGGCGCCTTCCCATCGGACTACAGCCCGTGGAGGGAGGATATGACAAGGGAGACCGACGACTTTATCATGCTACACACGACTTCGATGGCCACACTGTCCCGGGCAAAACCGGTGAACATCTGGTGGGTAGAGCCGTTGCACCCCACACTTAACCGCACACGCTGATTACACCACTAGGGTGGGGCACTCTTCCCTTACGGTGGCAAGGAGAGGTCAATTACCCACGGATACAAGATACTGTGAGTTTTTGTCTTTTCTCTGAATCAGTATGCATTCTGACCCGACCTGTAGTTGCTGGACTCGCGATGCAGGGATCCGTGAAAGCACGCATACATGGCTTGTTCCACCTCCGCCGCGCTCGATATCGCTCATTCAAGGGGTTTATATTGGCATCGCACATTGCAGCAATGGATCGCGTCAACCCGGCTCTGTTACTCGAGGATCTCCCGGACGTATGATCTTTCCTCATGATGGCCGCGCAATCCTGGATTTCTATGGGCCGTACGATATCCTCGAGTTCGAAGAAGACAAGATGCAGTGGATACTGCAGGTGAAGGATGGTGCAATTCCGGCGGACTGTAGACCAGTCGAGGCCGGGTATGAAGCCGACGGCAAAAAGTTGTACTTCGCCAGACACTGCCCCTCCGATCCATACCGATACGGGAAGACGGGGAGACATCTGGTTGGTCGTTTCAAGTGAGATCGCATTCCTACGTCGTATCTGATTCAATGGCTCTATAGAAGGCAGGGCACTTTGTTCAGGATGGTAAGGAGTTGATCTTGCGCGGAGGATACGATATACTGTGAGCCTTCTCTCGAGGTGTCTACAGCGAAGACTACTAAGTCTTTCACAGTTGCTGGAAGGACGCGTGACGAAAGACTGTCTGTATAGATGTACTAGTTCCCACCCTCTATCATATTCTATCATATAACGTGATGATGTATGTGCGAAGCGTCTTAATCGCCTAAATCGTACGGATCACGACCCTCAATTGAAATCGCCCCGCCTGAGTGGCTTGACCAGGTCATCTCGTCACTCCAGTCTATCCATAGGGTCTCGTCGAGCGGCCCAGTTTCAACCGTGACACGCTCAACCAGCTTCCTCGTTCGCGTAATGCCGCGTCTATTAGCTCTCCAGAACCACCTCGTGGCCCAGATTAGCTCCACGTTGAATTCGGGCCGTACGAAGCGGGCCGCACAGAACCGTAGTAAGGTGATCCGGTGTCCAGTGTCTTCGAGGGCTTTGGTGAGGTTTGACCATATTTTCTCCCAACGCTCGCCGGATCTTTCGCGTCGTGTGTTCACAACGCATAGGCGATGCAACTCTGGCGCTGCGGATGGCTGATCGAGGAGTGCGCACATGTATGCGGGAGAGTTGATGTCAATGGCGAGCTCCTCCAACGATGGGAATGTATGTTGGCAAAGCAGGCCGAGCACCTGAGGTTGCGCGACATGACAGAGAGTGGTGTCCAATGTCCGAATGTTCGGGGTGCGCACAAGATCAAGGAATGATCCCATGACCTCTGCGTACTGAGAGTGCCCAAGAGCGGCCTCGGGCGCGGAGCCGTACTCCTCTCCCCTAAACCGCACAGAGAGGCAAATGTGCGGAATGTGACGTTCGGCTGGCCATACCCTGTCGACGTTGACACGACAAGAGAGGCCCAGATCGAGCTTCCGGGAGGAGATGCCGAGGGCTACACTCTGGTGCCCTGTATATTGTAGTTGCGGAAGCATGCACTGTAAAAGGTTCGCCATGTGGGATGTAAAGTCGGTGTTCTGGTCCAAGCGGACGTCGCGCATATAGTAGTGGATGGTGGTATCGGGAGGGGCATCGACGGCATGGAGAACCCTGGTGCAAAGGCGAAGGCTGCCGTCAAGACCGATGTAGCGCAAAGTGGGAAGAGGGATGATGTCGTCAACGGATATCGGGGCTAATGTATCTTTGAAAACGTCGTCTGCTTTGATCGCCATGCTCCCAGTCTCCCTGAAAGCAAACCGGAGCTCCTGGAGACATGATGTGTGACGCACAGTCTCAAGGAAGTCGTGGAATCTGAGGACTGGAGGAGATCGTCTAGCTGATAGACCGTTTATGGTCATGTCTAGAGTCAACGACCTCAACGCCGGGCTCACGAAGATGAAGTGAGTGTGTGCATATGTGACCTGTCGGAGGTGGGGGATGTTGAATCTGATGGACACGCCGGTAAAGTCTATCGGGCTGTCCACGGGCTGGTTGATGTTCAAGATAGTAAGGCTCCGTCCAAACCCGGGCTGTAGCATCAGAGGTAGCCAAAAGTGAGGGTTATTGTCAGAAATTCCGTAGTCCTTGGACAAATCGAGGACGCCAATACGATCGGGATGGAGTAACGCGAGCGCTTGCGTGGTCAAGTGCTGCTTGAAGCGTGCGTTAGCGCTGGCAAGAAGGCCGTGAGCGCCGGGTCGGATGGTCAACGGGGCACTGCGCGTGCGCTCGAAGAGCACTCCTGTTGCCGCCGGTAGGTCGCCCAAAATTTTCCCCCAGAAATTACTGAATTCCAACGCAATGTTTCGCCAACGGGCACAGACGTGTGCAATTTGAATACATCCAAGACTTAGCCTCGGTCTCCACACACCGCACGGCGGGTCGATGTTTGCCGATATATCGAGAATAAGACATAGCACTTCAACAGGAAGCGTCTGAGCGAGCGAAGTTGGCTTGCCGCGTCTGGGAGAACATCAGTATTGGTGCACAAATAATGATACGCTGAGATACGCACATGCGGAACGTGATACGTGGCCGAAGACCCATGATCCTGAATGAGCATAGACCTCACGGCTCCAAAAGGAACAAGGGGAGACCACGGCGGGCGGCTTGGGTAGGCCAGCTGTGAGAACACTGGACAAGCATCGTCAGGAAAAGCGAGGTCGCTGTCATGCCGCGGAGATGGGCGGGCCCGGATTGAACCGTAAGAATGCAGTACAACGTGAATTAGAGAAGACCGAAAGCCCAAACAGGCTGCCGATGATGGGAAGATCCAAGGCGTGTTGACCGTGCGACTGGGCCCTGCACGTAAACGTCCTGTCAACAACCACGCGCCGCCTTGACTTCGAACGTCGAGAACCTCCCTGCGACCCAAGTCCCTGGCAATCGACGTTACCGAATCTGAGGTGGACTGCTGGACTTGAAATTCCCATCATCTTCCCGATATGGCCAGCGCTTTAGTTGCTCGTAGTCGATCCAACAGCGTGAACTCGGTCGATTCCGCAGATTCGTACCAGGTCTTATCTGGTGTTGGCGACGACTGGGAGACACTCTCTGCCTCCCCATCCGAGACCGGTGCTACGGTCCTCTCTGAAGATGAGAGTGGCGCCGAGGGTCCTAAACCTCGCGCAAAGGCGTCACCCGCGACTGCGAGCCAGTCGTTCGCCTCGCAGCCGCCTTCGGTACCTGCACCCCAGCACACGTCTCATGAGCTTGATGAATCTCATGTACGAGGCCCACTATCGTCCAGAGTGGACGATCTCAGCTCTTTAGTGGAATCCCAAGGCGGTTCAACCCCGCGCGATGCACGGCAGGAAGCTAAAGAGCCTACTGGACCCACTGCGTCGGTGTCACCACGCTTGGCTACCAGTACTGGTTGCGGTGCGAGCTCTTCTCTGAACATCTTTGTGGAACCAGACTCCCCGATATCTGCGGCTTCCGAGACGCTTGTGGATACTACTCATGTCCAGCCACACCCTACTATACCTATACGGGAGCGCCGCGTCTGGATGCACACGAGCCGCACCCTCCCTCTAAATCTCATCGCCAACGCGCCCTTCGTTGACGCAGACGGCTCACCCGTCATGATCGGCTCTGCACTGGTCGATGGTGCAGTACATCCCTGCAAGATCACTCTATCACGCCTGGGCGACGCAGGCTTCTCTCCAGTCCGCATGGCGTATCGAGGAAGCGAGACGGTCCACTTCGGAGTGTACGAGGTTCTGGAGGTCAATGAAGATACGATGGAGTGGGTCAGTGCGAGAGATGGGAGGTTACCGAGGGGACGCGCGCCTGTTGAGGGTGGCTACGATCGGGAGGGGAGGAGGTTCTACTACGCTGTTACCACCATCAAAGGCTTTGGAGTGCCAGGAAAGGCATCTGAACATGATGTACGCCCTCATCTTCTAGCGCAAACAAATGCAACATGGACGAGATCCTTTCATAGAATGCACATTTTGCTTACGGAGGAAGAGTTCACGTCAAACGAGAGGACTATCGTATCCTGTATGTCTCTCTTTGCGCTCTTAGGAGGCGTACTTATATTCACTCAATCGCTGTAGGTGCTGGCGCCCGCAATATTATGTTCCGGACATCACCCATGATCCGTGGGAGGTTGAGCACGCGCCGTTCACGGACTCGGGCGGCCAAGCGCCGGTTCATGTTGTCTCAGTCCCCTACGGCAAAACACTCCAGCCAGGCAAAGCTACCCTGCACCCCGATGCAGTCCGTGTACGCATCCCATACCTTTGGCGAGAGGTTGAGGTAGATTGGACTGCTGACGAACGGCCTCTGAACGTTCTTCATGTTGATCCAGATGCGATGGATTGGATCAGTACCTCGCATGGAAGGATCCCTGTAGGAGTGCAGCCAGTTGAGGGAGGGTACGATAAGACCGGAGAGAGGTTCTATCATGCCATTTGCACTTTCAATGGCGTCACCGTGCCAGGAAAGACAGGCGAACACTTGGTGAGTTGTGTGCATACCGCGTCTCTTGGTTCCTGCACTGACTTCATCCGATAGTGCGGGGCGCGGTTCCCGTGGAATGGGATTGAGCACTCCATCGAGTGCGAGTACAAGATACTGTGCGGCTTCTCACCAACGTGTAATGTTCTCCACCGTGCTGAAACCTGTATACAGTTGCTGGAAACCCGTCCCTGGCGCGAGCGCGTACACATCACTCATACCTCCACCTCCGACTCTCCTTCTGAGCGACGCCCTCACTCCCGCAACCCGCATCCTGAACCCGTTGACCCCAGACGGCATGAACATTGGTTTGGCACACCACTCAGACGGTTCTCGGCACCCTGGCACAGTAGTCCGCGGATCCCTCGAGCGAATGCTCTATGCCCACGGAGGACGCGCAATCTTAGGTTCTTCCGGAGCGTACGACGTCCTAGTGTATGAAGAGAACGTCATGGAATGGGTGCCTGCGAGGGAGGGCAGGGCTCCTGCTGATAGACGGCCGGTTGAGGCCGGGTACGAGAGGAACGGGAAGAAGCTTTGGTTCGCGAGGTACATGCAGGCGGCGCCGTACGTGTTCGGGAAGACCGGAGAGCATTTGGTATGTTGCATTGCCTCGATGCGCTGGGGTTGGTACTGATCCTACTTGCGTTAGCAATCAGCACACTTTGTGAGGGACGGTCAGGAGTTGAAAGTTCGGGCGGGTTACGACGTCTTGTGAGTGCACTGCAACTACGGGCGGATTTTCGACTGACAATAGCAACGCCGCCCAGATGCTGGAAGGATGCCTAATCTGGCTATTGTATTCGATCAATCCATGTATATCGGTGCCGTTTTTACGAGTTATATTCGCTCGCGGTCTGCAATCCCTCACATGTATCATCATTCACCATGTATCATGTACGCGCTCCTCAGGTTCACCTGCCAAGGCCCTATGGATGACTGTTCCCGGAACTCGCTTGGGGCTTGTAGAGTTTGAGGTGACTCCCACGAACCCCGTGGCGAGCAGCGATGGCGGCAAGAAGCGTACGATCCCGGCTCTCCATACTCCGTCCTGTAGTAGGCAACTCGAGGTGAACTGGCGCATGGCTTCGTCGCGAGGAAGCTTTGGAGGCATCTGGCTCTCTTCAGCCTCCTCCCCATATCAGTTCACCTCTATATGCCTGGTCTTGGCTAGAACTTGTTGTGGCTCACCGCCGGTCATCGCGTCAGTCAGGCCCATCCCTTGACAGCTGTTTGCAGAACGATAGGCCACCCTGTGTTCTACATACAGACGCCACCGCACCGCTTTGCCCCACATGCGGCGTGATGTGTCACAGCGTCGTTGAACCCCGTCCTTTCGCTCAAACCACCTCGCAAGCCATTCGCTTGGGTGAAAAAGGTCTGGTTTTGCACTAGTCGTGAGCCTCTCCCACTTACGGAGCTCGCTTCGAGAAGGCGTCGTCGAACAAGGGTTGGGGGTCTTCCGACTAGTCAATTCGAGTTGAACCCGCATTAACTGGTACTGGCGCTTGATGCCATTCCCGTGTCAACGGCCGGCGCGAAGTGGAGCAAATCTGTGTGCGTGTAGAACGTAGGGTGGCCTATCGTTCTGCAAACAGCTGGAATCATCCATGGTCACACGGACACCCACAATGAGCGTCTAAACGTCGCTTCCATAACAGAAGTCGAATGCATTATGCCGTATGCCACCTGTGCAACGCACAGGTGGCAGCAGGTGGCGCGCCTTTTGTATCGTACGGTACTGCCCAGACACAGACGATTGAACAAGGATTCGGAGGGCATGACAGCTCCGGCCCTCCGAGGCTCTCAAAGGACCCGAAGTTGTCATTGTGGTCGTGTCTCTATAGGTCGCTACCGAATCGAAGAACGCCCAGCGCTCGATACAGTTCGCAAGATCCGCAAATCTCCGTCACGGCTGCGAATGTACACATCAAACTGGATCAAACTGCCACGTACGCGCGCAGGAAACCCCGCCATCACTTCCCAACGCGCTGAATAAGGGACCCATGCGCGTGTACATGGCCCTTGGCGGGCCCCATCGTGTCACTATCTCCCATCATCTCTCCTCAACTCAACCACCCCCGCTCCCCTCGCCGATGGCGAACCTGGGTGCGATCCTCAACATTCCAAGCGACCGCGAGAAAGAGTGGCGGTACGTGTACCCTCGTCCCTCGCCACGTGGGCGCGTGTTCATTTTTTTGTTTACTAGGAAAGATAGTATGATTCCTACGTCTGCGACAAGCCTTACATCGCCCACATCGCCGGACTTCACGTCTTCAATGTCCACAGAACAGCCACCAGCAGTACCACCTCCTGGCGGCGCTTTGGACCATTATCGTTATCGCGTCAATGCGGCTGGCGAGCATGAAGCCCATTCTGGCTGCCCTGACTCCTTGAGCTGTTTAGTAGACACAAATGAGCGACCCTTGTACACTATCCCCGTCCTTATCTCCTGCGCAATACTAGGCAGTCCCGACAAGAAGATGCTCGTCAGCGAGATTTACCAGTCGATCATGGAGAAGTATCCCTACTTCACGTCGTCAGAATCAGTTGAAACTCGGTTCAAGGTACGCACATACCTTCATCGATACAGTCAGAACTGTGTATGAGCAATTCGTACAGCAATCCCTTCGTCATCAGCTGTCGTTGAACAGGCTGTTCGAGAGAGAGCAAGGTCAACGCCTCCTCACGCGCGGCTTTTACTGGAGCGTCAACCTCGCGGCGCCACCAGGGACGAAACGGCCGCGCAAGCGTGGCAGCAGGAAGCCCGACGACCCCGAACTGGCTGCGCCGAAGAAGGACTTGCAGATAAAGGATAGGCCGATGGTACAGGATGACCTTGGTCAGGGAGCAGCGAGTGGACTTGCAGGAGGTGGAGGAGCCGGGGAACCGCCGCCGGATGTGACAATGACAGAAGCAGGCGCGCCGATGTAGGAAACTCAGGAAACAGAGAGGCTCTGTAATATCACTTTCATGACTCTGTCTTGAACGACCACTCCGAACTGTCGAACCGTTGTGCAACCAGAAATATTTCACACTTCCGAATAAATGCTATCTTGGACTTCGCTCGTATCCATCATCGATATGACGTACACATAGACTCAGCATCCAGACTAGCGGGCGCCGTGTGTGCTTCGAGCTGGGTCTAGCGCCCATCATGAGAGCTGTCGCGGGTTCTGCGAGGCGGCTGGGTCGGCAAGACGTGGGGACGTGATGGGCAGCGAGCAGCCGAGGCGCGCAACGTTGCAAAGACAAGGCCAAGAGGGTGCGGGCCGGTGTCGGCCCGAACGGCGCACGCGTGACGTCACGCGTACAGCCGTGCAGCAATTCGTTCAAGCATCAGACCCGTTGCTCTCTTGCCGTCATGACCTCGAAACTAAGTCCCGCACCTCCCTCCCCAATTCATCTCATCAGATATCACACCTCAAATATAAGTGCGCTCTTTATCAGCACAGATAACGAGCGTCTGTACTCGGCCGATGCATCCGGCCGCATCCTCTGCTCTTCTACTCGCTCACTTCGGCCAATCGCGAAATGGCAAGCACACACCGACTCTGTTCTTGGTGTCGAGGAAGTCGGAGAGAGGCTTATAACGTGAATAATTTCTAGTCTTTTTGGGCATGATGGGCGGCATACTTAAGTATACAGTGAAGACAGGGAAGAGATCACAAACTTTATGTCTGGCGCCGTCCTGAGAGACGAGGGGCGCAGATCGCAGGGAGCGCGACGGCTGGGGGTGAAGAACCCGAGAAGCTTGCGGAGATGGACGTGAATGCGCTAAACTACTGCCGCTTCTCTATCCTGTCATCGAGCGAGGGCGATGTCTTGGTTGCATTGCCGAACCTGGTCGAATCTGCTTACGCAGATATCTGGAAGCTGGACGGTCATGAGAGGTTGCACGCAGCTGTCGGTAAACGCTCGCCATCCCAGAATGAGGCTATGGATGGACGTGGCAAATCGAAGTCTGGTGAGGCTCTAACGTTCTTGACTGCGAGCTATGGTATTGACGATTGCTCGTATATGAGTATAGGTATCATCATGGCGCTGCATCTTCTTCCACCCGTTCATCCGGATCATTCACGTGTTCTCATGGGCTACGAGGCTGGATCTGTCATACTATGGGCTTATGATCCGGCGCGCAACCAAGATCGGAGTACGAGCGTTGAAGGTGTCGGATGGACGGCGTTGCGCGAGTGGAAGGTACATATGGAGACAAGTACGTCTATGTGCTGAATCAATTGAGCGTTTGACCGACCATGGTGTCAGTTATGGGTCTGGCTGTATCCCCGGACTACACCTTTGCTCTCAGCGTGAGCGCGGATCATCTTATAGGGAATTACGGTCTAATCTCAGAGGTGCGCTCGTCCCTCATAATCGCGCACAGAACCGGTTTTGACAGATGAAATAGGATGGTAAAGATGAGACAGTGCGAACAAAACACCCCGGGTATGGTTCGATCGCGATCAAGTGCGACGGGCGCGTATGCGCGGCAGGCGGATGGGACGGAAAGTACGTCTGTGGTCTTCTGGTCATCTATCCCCTGAACTGATCAAGTATCTGTAGCATCCGCCTGTACTCTACCAAATCCTTCAAGTCGCTCGGCACGCTCGGCTTCCATCGCAAAAGTGTCGACCGCCTCGTCTTCGCGCATTCTTTCACCCCTCCTCAGGAGAACGATGAAGATTGGAGCGAGGACGAGGACGAGGACGGGTACATATTGACCAGGGCGGGAGAAGAGAAGAGAGGGAGATGGTTGGTTAGTGGAGATGCAGATGGGAAAGTAGCTATCTGGGAGCTGCTTGATTTCGCGAGGAGATGAGAATAGCTGAGCTTGATAGCAGAATAGGATCAATGCCCTCAGGATTCTCCGTGTGCGCTCGAGAAGTATGACGTTGGTCGCAGCTTGAGAGAACTTGACCGCGTGTACGTTCTGCTCGGATGACAGTTCGCAGAACTCTCATTGGTGCGTCTATCTGTACTGTGGGAGTCAACTCTGCGCACAGGACGCCCTGCAGATCGTTTCACTACAACGTCGTAGCTGCGTCCAACATTTTACTGAATATCCATTGCGCTCTGCAGATCGCGTCTCCGACGGAGAGAGTGCGCGCCGAAGGAATCCTGCATATCCGTTCACCCGCTCTCACACAAACTAAAAACGTAGTTGATTGTTCGTTCATTGGAGCTTTCAGGTAGACAGCTAGTGAAGGCGCCATTCGCATTGGCTTGACTTGCAGCGACGTACACTACGTCAACTTGGCCGCCTTCTCTTGGCTTGGGCCACAGTTCATTGCGGTGGACAAGCTGCTAAAAACAGATGCCGCAGGCACCGTTCCTAGGCCGGGGAGATCGCTCGCCGTCAAAGCCTTGAATTTGAAAGGAAGATAGCGCTACCGAGTTGGAAGCACTCCGATATTGAGCAGTACTGTGCGCTATGAGCGTCTATCATACGCTTCCTCTTATATACACGATTCTTCCTCACCCATATGTACAACAAGACGCAAAGTACTGTATCTCGCGAACTCATGTGATCGCGTTGCACGGAGCAATCTTGATATCGCGAGCCGCGACGCCCGATCCGAAATGACAAGCGCGGACCAGCGCAGTGTCCGTGCCTCCAGTAATTTCCGGACGTGCATTCATGCGCACATGCGCATGTGCGCGCTTCTGGAGCTCCTTATCCCGAACGGCCACCATCTACCGTTTGTCCGTAGGACCCTCTACCCAATTCACCACTCTTGACGCTTAGCTCCGCCGACGCTCCTTCCATACTTCCATCTCACACTGTATGGCCGACCTTCAGGTCGTCCTGAACAGTGTTGTAGGAGCAGCGCTCAGCTTTCATGCCAGAGCGACCGCAAACGTCCCGTGCGTGCTGAGCTGCACGTAAACCTAACAACGAACAACATCTAATATTACCTACAGATTATGGCGTGATGCGCGCATCCTACCGGCGTACATCGCCGGCCTGAGTGTATTAATATTGGCTGCGCAAGGCGCCATCTATCTTGTCCGACGCGCGCGCACGAAGGGTGACCGGAGTTCAACTTCGACGACGGAGAGTATACTCGCCGACCCGTCTACAACTTCCGCCTTCCGGAAACATGTCAAGAGCCATGGAGGGTTCGCGATATGGTTCTTTGCCGTGATGCGGTTAGCGGCTATACTTGTGCTGCTCGCACTGTACGCCGTGAGCTTTGCGGACGACGCAAAGAGTGCTACGCACGAGTTCGGCGGGGCTAGTCAGCCGCCGCACCATCAAAGGCATCTCGACGGAATTCTGTGCGGGGTCTACGTACGCTTCTCCCATCCATTCAGTTGTCACGCGACCTTATAATTGATATACAGGTCTACGCGTCCCTCCTCGCAGTACTGGCAGTTGCGGCCAAGCGCTCCTTCGCACACGCCGTTTCACCACATCTGACATGTGTTTTACTTGCTGCATGCGCCGTGTACACCTACCGCGACATCTGGCCCCTCATGACCTTCCCGCTCTCCCCCGCCGACGCCTTAGACGCCCTCCTCTGGCCCAAAGTTGTACTTGTCTTCTTCACCGGTGTCTTCATACCTCTCTGCCAACCACGACAATATGTACCCCTCAACCCGACTAAACCGCAAGAGGCGGTGAACCCAGAGCAGACAGCCAGTGTACTGAGCCTCACGACGTACACGTTCCTCGACGATATCGTCTTCCGTGCTTATCGCATGCCGCACTTCCCGTTCGAGCAGTTGCCACCTCTTTGTGACTATGATCGGACGGAGGAGCTCGTACCACGGACGTTCAAGTACCTAGACACGTTCTCGGGCGCGCGCAAGGAGCATATGTTCAGGAGCCTGATGCGCATATTCTGTGTGTAATGTTGCCTACTTTGAAGTTTACCATGTACTAATCATATTTCTGTAGTCAAAGAATACTGTATCTTGACGCTCATGGTCATCGGACGTACACTGATGTCATTCCTTTCTCCCATCGGTATCAACCGCCTGCTCGCGTGCGTCCCCATTCAACTTTGTCGCCATCATGACTGAACACCGATACGTAGCTACATCGAAGACGGTGGTCAAGATGCTCTCGTCCGTCCTTGGGTCTGGATGACATTCCTCTTCCTCTCACCTTTCATGATGTCCCTCCTCTTCCAGTGGTACATCTGGATCACGGTGAGTAGCTGTCTCTGCATTTGTTTTCTTAAGGCTGACGGCTCGGGATTCAGACATCATCACTCGTTCGAGCACAGAGCTTCGTAACCCAGCTCATCTTTGAACATGCGTTGAGAATGAGGATCAAGGCGGACTCGACTGATGCGAAGGGAGGCGAAGCGAAGAAGGGGAAGGGTAGCACCCTGCAGGGCCGGATCACGAACTGTACGTGCATGCTTTTGACGACTTCGTTTCCCTGTGATAGCCCCTCTTTGTAACAACGCTTGACTGATGTCCATGCAGTGGTTACAAGCGATCTTGAGAACATCATCAACGGGCGCGACTTCCTGCAGATTTTTGTCTTCGCGCCGCTTCAATGCGTTATCAGCATATACGGGCTGCATTTACTGTTGGGCTGGAGGTGTGTGTGCCTTTCGTCTCGATCTTGATACCATTTGTGTATTAACAATGGATCATCAGTGCTTTCGTGGGCTTGGCGGTCATGCTCGTATGCTTCCCATTCCCGGGCTTGATTGTGCGCAAGATGCAGGGCATGCAGAAGGAAGTCATGAAGAAGACGGATACGCGTGTGTCTGCTGTGACAGAGAGTGCGTCCTTTATCTCGTAGCCCTCAGATGCACACAGATACTGACACACTGCCGCTAGTGCTCTCCGTTCTGCGCATGGTCAAGCTGTTCGGCTGGGAGCAAAAGATGTCAGAACAACTGTCGGAGAAGCGTGCTGCCGAGATGCAATGGGTGCGCAAGCGCGAGTTTGCCTCGCTGGCCAATACCGTCGTGAACTACATCATCCCTGTGCTCGTCATGGTCTCATCCTACGCGACGTTCACATTGGTCATGAAGCGCCAACTCAGCCCGAGCATAGTCTTTTCGAGCATGAGCATCTTCGATATGCTCCGCGGCCAGCTCGGTCAGGTCGTGCTCCGCATCCCGAGTCTTATCCAATCGAAGGTGTCTTTGGACCGTGTTACGGAGTTCTTGCACAACGTGAGCTCCTTCTTCGCGCGGGCCATAGAGTGAACTCAAATTCAACCCTCACACAGACGGAACTTCTCGACGCCTACTCCGAGCAAGACAAACAAACGCTATCCCCGTCACACGTCGAGCCCGACGCAATCGGCTTCACAGACGCGTCCTTCCGCTGGACATCTGAACCCGACGACGGCACGCTCACGCCCTCTCGACGCTCATTCACTCTGCGGATTCCTGGTGACCTACACTTCGTGCGCGGAGGGTTCAACCTCGTCGTCGGCCCAACGGGCTCAGGCAAGACCTCTCTGTTGATGGCGCTGCTCGGGGAGATGCACTTCATACCTGCTGCCCCTGGAGGATGGTACAATCTCCCTCGTACAGGCGGGATCGCGTACGCAGCACAGGAGAGTTGGGTACAGAATGAAACGATCAGGGACAACATCCTCTTCGGCTCGCCTTACGACCCTGACCGATACAACAAAGTCATCCACTCATGTGGCCTCAAGCGCGATCTGACGTTGTTCGAGGCTGGGGACAAGACGGAAGTGGGAGAGAAGGGCTTGACGCTGAGTGGAGGGCAGAAGGCGCGGATCACGTTGGCAAGAGCGATGTATTCGTCGGCAGAGGTTCTGTTACTTGACGATGTGCTCGCGGCGCTCGACGTGCATACTGCGCGGTGGATCGTGGAGAAGTGTTTCAAGGGCGATCTCGTCAAAGGGCGGACGGTCATCCTCGTAACGCACAACGTCGCTATGGCAAGCCCATTGGCGGACTACGTCGTCTCTCTCGGTATGGATGGGAGCATTGCTAGCCGAGGGTCCGTCAGCGACGCATTGGCGCAAGATGAGACGCTGCGAGCGGATGTCGAGGGACAGGAAGAGGAGCTGGCGAAGGATGAGGAGGTGCTGGACAACGAGTCGCCCGGAAAGCCTGCGAAGGATTCTGCGGATAAGAAGGCGGACTCTGCGCCAGCGAAGGACGGGAAGCTTGTTCTCGCGGAGGAGGTCGCGCTCGGGCACGTCACGTGGTCGGCTCTAAACCTCTTCTTCAGCGCGCTCGGCGGGGAACACAGTACTCTCTTTTGGACGGGTTTCCTTGGCCTACTCGCGCTCTCGCAAGTCTTGGCGGCTGCACAAACATGGGAACTTGGATACTGGGCGGAGCAGTACACACTTCACACCGATCCGGCCGACGTCAGTGTACCTCTGTACCTTGGCCTCTTCACGATACTGCTTCTCGCGAGTCTCATCGCACAGAGTGGCTCGAGCGGCATCTTTGTCTTCGGCCTCATCCGTGCCGCTAAGCGTATCCACGCGCAATTGATTAGCGCCGTACTCGGCACAACTCTCCGCGTTCTCGACGTCACGCCTACATCCCGGTTTATGGCGCGTTGCACGCAGGACATCCGATCCGTCGATGGGCCCGTGGCAAGCGAGTTCCGCGCACTCGTCGAGATCTTTGCACAGATGCTCGTGAAGCTTATAGCCATTGTACTCGTCACACCCGCCTTCCTCTTGCCCAGCGTCTTTCTGTTTGCTCTGGGAGGCTACGCCGGCAACGTCTACATGGCCGGACAACTGAGCGTCAAGCGTGAGATGAGCAACGCACGTGCACCGGTACTCGGGCATTTCGGCGCAGCCATGGGCGGCCTACCCAGTATACGCGCGTACGGTGCCCAGGCCGCCTTCCGCCTCGAAAGCTATAGGCGCATCGACAACTTCTCACGCGCAGCGCGTACATTCTATAACCTCAACCGCTGGGTCAGTCTCCGGATCGACGCTCTAGGCGGCGCATTCGCTGCGCTCCTCGCTGGCTACCTTGTGTACGGCCCACAAACGACCGGCGCTAACAGCATCGGGTTCAGTTTGAACATGGCCGTGGGATTCAGCGGGATGATCTTGTTCCTGGTCAGGATATACAATGCCTTTGAGGTGGACGGGAATAGTTTGGAGAGGATTCAGGCGTACACGGAGATCGAACAGGAGGAGAAGCCGAGCAAGAAGGGGGTACCGCCTGCGGCGTGGCCGAGTAGTGGGGAGTTGGTTGTTGAGGGACTGTCGGCGCGTTACTCGCCGGTGTGTGCTTCTCATCCCCATCATTAGCTCTCATGGATAACTAACTTTGTCTATGCAGGACGGCCCGCGAGTGCTTCACGACCTCAAGTTCACTGTCAAGTCCGGCGAACGCGTCGGCATCGTCGGGCGCACCGGCAGCGGCAAATCCTCCCTCACTCTCTCCCTCCTTCGCTGCATCTGCACCGAAGGTACAGTCCTGTACGACGGCATCGACACGAAGAATGTGAACCTGGATGCACTCCGTGGTGCAGTCACGATCATCCCACAAGTGCCCGAACTGCTGAGCGGCACCTTGCGCGAGAACCTTGATCCATTCGGACAACATGACGACGGCGCGCTGAACTCTGCTCTGCGTGCAGCCGGTCTATTCAGTATACAGGATGAAGAGGACGAAGGGCGCATCACACTCGACAGTCAGATCAGTGCAGGTGGAGGCAACCTCAGTGTCGGCCAACGGCAGATCTTGGCACTTGCGAGGGCGCTTGTAAGAGGGAGCAAGCTGCTGATTCTCGACGAAGCAACGAGCAGTATCGACTATGAGACGGATGCGGTCATTCAGAGGAGTCTGAGGACGGAGCTAGGCGGGGATGTTACGCTTTTGACGGTAGCGCATCGATTGGCGACGATCATGGATGCGGATAAGATCGTGAGTGATGATCTCATTCCTTTCAAAACCTCACACTGACACAGATCCAGATGGTGCTGGATGCGGGACGTCTGGTTGAGTTTGATGCACCGAGAGTTCTGCTCGAGAAGGACGGTGGGTATTTGAAGGCGCTCGTAGACGAGAGTGGTGATCGAGACGCGCTTTATGGGATGGCTCACGGGAAAGGAGACTTGCCTTAGATGCCTTGGCGACTGTGGTACTTATCGAACCTTCTTATAGTACCAATGGGCCGAGATCGCTCATATTTGTCTTGCTTAAAGGCTCCCTTCTATCCCTGCAATAATTACCGTCATATTATAGGATGAACCGCTGGATATTGATGCCGTGATTCCATCGTAATCCGCTGGCTTCTCAGAGCAACCGCAGGCGCCCATATTGAGGTGGGTCAACCAGACGGCATCACCCGACAAGATGTAAGCTCGGGTACATACACCTCGCAGACTGCCAATGTTCCTTGACCGCACAAGATCTCTCGCCTGTCACAGTCGAGCTACACTGTCGACTGATATTATTCTCCTTCGATCTCGAGTAAGATAACTCGCACCGCCTTGAGGCGAGCGCACCTATCGCTCGCCGCGCCGTCACCGCGACTTCTTGACGGCACCGCTTCTCGATACATGTCCGTTCCCAGAACACAGCTTCATTATGTGCCGCTATGTAAACTTGAGCCCAAAAGCGCTCTAGACATCCTTTCATGGAGCTACACCGCCATGAAGTCGACTACCTTTCGAATAAATGAACCGATACTAAACCTACACCGCCATGAAGTCGACTACCTTTCGAATAAATGAACTGATACTAAAACTACACCGCCATGAAGTCGACTACCTTTCGAATAAATGAACTGATGCTAAAACTGGACGTTTACAGCCCCGTGTTTCCAATCATTCACTGCCCCCGAGGATGACGCGCTTTAGAACCTTTGCAATGCCACGTCTCTACCGGACCCCCAGATAGTGATCACACACACTCAGATGGCATGGTAGGGCGCCAGTTGAGCGTATAAGTATGGACGGCATGCGAATCTGTCCAGGCAACTGGCCGCATAGATATCCCGCTCTCGAGTAAAGCGACTCATCCTCGGGGCTGGCACAAGTTCTTCCGTCCAGCTAATCAATACTGCGCCTGGCCCTATAGTTGCCAGCGTTCATCGATGAATGCCGATCCCAGTCCCGAAACAGCAGGCGCCACGCTTGCGCTGTCACTACCCCCTGCCGCGCTGTACCGCCGTGAAACTATCGTCGACCTCGGTGGTATGCCATGATGTTGTGCATGAGACCATAGCGACATACTGAACATGCATCAGCTTACCCAACGTCCACTCTCATCGTGCAGGAGGTAATACATGTGCACCCTCCGGAGAACCTTAGTACTACAGATGATCGGGCTAGCCTCGGCCTGCTCCTCAATCTAGTGAGCACATTCGAGTATGTCTAAGCAGTATGACTGGTACTAAACAAACTCAGATGATCTTCATTGGCACGATCTGCATGTTCGTTGCCACCATCGCCCTGACTGGCAGCGCACCAATGACGCCCACGCTGAAGGGTAGTGCCATATCCGGTATCATCGGCACCCTATCTGCCGGTGCCGGGGCATTGTTCATCGCAAAGAACGCACACATCGTCGCGTGGCGTGCGCTTTTCCTCAGTTGTGTATGTGCCATTGTAGGATCGTTGGGCGTCGTTGCTGAGACCCAACCGTGGGAGGTGACGGCGGTCGCCGGAGGGTGTGCTGTCGTCGTGCTTCTTGGTGTTGTATGGTGGCTGAGGGAGAAGGTGAAGGGCTTCGAGGATGCAGAGGTCGGGCTGGTCCGCCGTTAGATGAAGGACGACTATTACGGTTTGGCGCTCCAAAATGCTTTGTGAATGCGTATCGACGAATTGCCGTTTTTGGATTGTACTTTATCTGTATCCATTTATTCCCGGAAGAGCCTGTTCTTACCGATTGCTGCACAGCCGAACTAAGATGTGGCCCGTACAATTGTACACATTAGCGAATGATCCAGATCGAAGGCTCGGCGTTATATGGAATATTATACCCAGTCGCTGGCTATGTTGCATGGTCTTAACTAATGTTGATTGTGGGATCGAAGATGACGCCGTTGTCGAGAGAAGACACATCGTAGATGATGGCCGCGCGAAGGAAGAATCGCGTGGGCTGCAGACTGATACTTATGCGAGGCCGACGCGTACCGTCACACGTTACCGTACGCGCGACGCGCAGGCATCGTGTCTTCGCCGGTTCTTCTCCCGCCATCGGTCGAAGGCTTCGGGCCTCATGTAGACCACCCATATTGACAGGATAAAAAGGCGCATGGTTCTGCTCGGCAGCCTGTTCTGATAAATTGAAGTGTGAGTCGGGCAAAAGTCTCGTGCCAGTGCACGATCGCGCGCAACGGCCCAGTCGGGCTTGAGGAAGACATATGGAATACGTCAAGGCCAGGTTCAATGGTTATTGCGCGTACGTGAGAGCGCGCTAGTCGACATGGAAGAGGGCGACGAGTGCTTCGCGTACCTGCCGGCGTCACCGATGGACCGCAACGTCGAGTACGATCCACCATGTATAACCAGAGACAGAAGGCCGACGAGTTCGGAGATCCCAAGATAATCGCCACGCACAATGAGGCGAGCCTGAGCTATATCCACGAGAGTTTCGAGCGAAGTCGGGATAGGACAGCGTCCCTTTGTCTGTTCCCGGATCGGAGGCTAGCGGTTGCCGACGGTGACATGCGCTTTAGCATGCAGCGGGAATACACCATGAGCGCGCCTGGGTCGGTCGTAGGGACGGTCCGACCTCTAGAGACGGTATATAACGACTGCGTTCCCCACAGCGCTCCGTTTGCCCGAACTCGAGCGTGTTTCTGCGCCCGCCCGCTATTATATACGGATCGGACCCACCCCTGCGAACCTGCGACGCGTGACTCGGGCCGAGGAGTCCGCGTTTGGCAGGTATTCTGATAGGCTGAGGATTGAATGCGTGTGGTATGGGCGCCGTTTTGGGCATCACGATGGCCGAAGCGCGCGCCGGCGCATCGAACATCCAGTTCGCATACACGGGCTGTAAACGTCAAACATCGCCACCTGTCCACTCGCCGTCAACTCACTCGGTCGCTCGCGTTTCCAAACCCGGCCTTTTGGTTTCGAACGCCCATCGCTATATCTCCAACTTCTGAACCTTTCTCGGATACGCGCGGTTTTGAATGTCGGATTGGGATTCAGGGCGGGCGCACGATCCCGCGTTCTTTGGGCAGCAGGGCTTTGCGGGGCAGGGACAAGGACAGTTCGGCGGTCAACCACCTGGCCAGTTCGCATTTGGTCAACCACAGCCTGGTCAGAGTAGTCTACTGGGAGACTTCCCGCCGGCGCATCAAGATTTCGGTTCTGGGTTCCCCGCATCCGCTTCTACGTCTACGATGCCGACTTCGACGCCAGAACCGGCGCGTAAGCGTCGTCAAACAGACGCTGGCGTGATCGCTCTTCCCGCCTCTTCGTCATCCACGCCTGCGCGGACTAAGCGTCCCCTCGAGACCGCGGACGACGACACGGCAGATGCCGAGCTGGGTGGCGGTGGTGCGGAGGGAGACAGGGAGGGCGAAACCAACGCGAGCATGAAGCGGGCCTGCGCGCGGTGCAAGAGTCTCAAAGTCCGCTGCCAGTTCAAACGCGATGCGGATACTTGCGAGCGCTGTCTGCGCGCCGCGCACGAGTGCGTTATCCCGGGCAAGAAACAACGCAAGCCGCCTGCGTGAGTACATTACATCATACTCTCATATAGCGTATACTAATATAGTATTGTTCGATAGGAAACGGGAGACGTTCATTAGTGTTATCCGTGACCAAGCCGACCTCATCGACCGTCTCCTAGCCCATGTCCACGCCCATACGGATCAACCACAGCGCGCAGGGCAACTCGAACGCGATGCAATCGCCATATCCCAGGCTGCGGCGCGCACAGCTGCGACACTCAACCGGCCTCCTCTGACCGCCACTTCCGCTTCTACGAGCACCCTTGCCACCGCGACTTCAAGAGCAACGGTGAAAGAGGAAGGACCGAGCACAAGCGCGCCGGAGTTGAGCAGCGAGCTGAAAGCGTGGGTCGGCGCGATCCCAGCTGAGCTCGGTGCATCAAGCGCACGTTCCTATTTCGCGGATGCGGGACCGGAAGACTCGTCCAGTTCGAGTGACGAGGAAGACGCGGCGGAGGTGCTTCCCACAGATACGGAAGGGGAAGGCGACGATCTTCGCATGCCGGGCGCTCGCGTGCTCGTTGAACGTGATGCCGAAGGTGTGACGAGCGAAGAGCGGGAGGCTATCATAGCTGGCCGCAAGTCAAGCAAGAGCGTCGGGCGCAGCGAGAGAATCGCTGGCATACCAGCAAAAGCTAGTCCTTTCGGGCTCATGGCCAGAATGAGCACGCACAAAGTCAGAAGCCGTGCTGGTAGCCCTGTCAGAGAAGCCGAGGGTATCGCTGGAGAGGACTTCTTCAGAGCTGGTAAGTTTGGAGCTACCATATCTGGCTTTCCGAGATCCAAGGCTTCCGTTCATTATGACCGTTGATCCGATCTATAATTGCTCATTATATATCGGTAGCTGTGGCACACTCGTCGTTCGTTATGCTAACGTTACTTCACTAGCGAGCCCGCAGACTCTTCGGCCTGCGCCGACCGCGCATGAGCCGCCGGCGATCCTCAAGGACAGCATAGTCACGCCCGCGCTCGCTGAGACGCTCTTCCAGTCGTACGCACTCTTACTCTATCTATACCCGCGTGACAATAATCTCACTGATATCGTGCAGGTACTTCACTTACATGAATCCGAGCGTGTCCCTGCTCGACGATGTCTTGTATACGCCTCAGAGCACGTACTGGCGTTCGCCTTTCCTCTTCACCGTCAGTACGTGCTCGTCCTACTGCCTCTTCCACTACCGCAGCCTCCGGTTCTGACCTATATCCGCAGTCGTTGCA